ATCTCCCTGAGTTGAACCTTCCTCAGACTTAAGTTGGTAGTGGTCCTCGGTAGTATTAATGATCAGGTCTGCTGGCTTTTGGTAGTGGTTCTTTAGATACTGATAGAGCGGAGGACAGATCTCATGAACATTGTGAAGGGCTGCTTCTCTATTAAGACGATTGAACGCATTATCAGCGTCAACCTGTAGTATTGCTTCAGTGTCACTGTCTTCCCAGATCTGTCTCATTGCATGAATGGAAGCCTCTATTCCTGATTTGAGCCCTGCACAGGTCTGCAGTGGGCCAGCAGCATATTGTATATCAGTTTTGAAAGACATTATAACTGCTTTTCCAATGATTCTGCGCAATATCTCGCCGATTCCAATTGGTCTTACACCAGGTTTCCCGTTCTTATCCTGGCCTTTATCAAGAGGGATTAATCTGCATGCAGTGAACTCTTTCAGACAGCAATGATGGATATCTTCTCTACAAAGGCGCCTTGCAACAATTGCTATAGACTCAGCAAGTGTCACTGATGCTTTGCCAAATGATTTGCTGCAGATGATATGCTTCCACAAATCTGAGTCCGTTAGTGTTGGGCCGCCTGATCCATCCAAATATAAACAAGCCCTCTTGACAGTCTCTGCGTCAATCCTCTCAAATATCACTTCCTGAGGTGGAGGAGTACTGTGAGGGTGCAGAACAACTGGATCTGCTTTAACAGCTGGAGGGTGTTTCTCCCCAAGGACCTGTTTAATGTTTGCTGTTAGGCTGTGAACTCCTAAGGTGTCATTGGAACTGTCAACATATTTGGTGGCTTGTTTAACTTTCCCAAGAAGCATTAGTCGGCAGAAACTCTTCTTCCTGGATTCCTCGCTGATTTTTTGTTGCTGCACCAAGGCTTTCTGAATACTCCTGCACTCCATCATTAGATCGTCAAGTTCTCCATTTTTCCATTTAACCAAACGCTTGGTGAGATATGTTACATGGTCTCTTGCTTTTGACTTGCTTGACGGTTTTTGCAACATGATTGGCAAGAAGATATGAACCAGTGCGAACGATAGCCTTTCCCACTTGGTAGCATCTGCAAATAAGAGGATGAGCCGAGTCAGTTCTTTTATAAAGTCGCTACCTGATTTACCTCTGGGAACTAGGAAAAGATTCTTTCTCCATGTCACCATCTCTTGATAAACAGCTTGGACTTTCTCAGCTATCAACTCTTCATCAACCATTGAGCCCCAATTAATTTTGTTTGCTTTCACTGCTTGACAAGTATCACAAAACCATATCTCTTCATTATCCATCTCAGCGTACTCGGTTTCACTGATAAACAAACAAGGTGCATGGAACCATTCTTCACAGCCATCACAACCCAATGCCTTATCCGAATCCCCCACAACACTCCTACACACGGGACAGTTATAACAGATATCATTTTCCTCGTCAGGAGCATCAATGATCTGCTGGTTCTCTACATTATCCCTACATTTCTGACAAACCCACCGTTCACTGTCCACTGGTGCAGACTTGCCAAGACATTTAGGATGGAAAAATGTCTTACAGGAATCACATTGAATGCTACAAGGTTCTGATATAAGATCTTTGGGACAGATTCCACATAACAGAGAAACAACAGGTGTAACATAAGCAATACCTTCAGAAGACAGGTGTTGAGATATCTCCGGATCACAGGTGTCTGGTAGCTGTACACTCTCTGTTTCTGCTGTCTTGTCTTCACCGCTGTTTGTTATCATCGTAGCGGACTTTCCATTGTCATACCTCAATAAATGTAATAGATTTGTAGTGTTGTAATTAGTTTAAAACTAATTTTAATTTCTTCTTCGTAGGGGGCTGTGGTCAATATCACTAATGGTAAGATCGTGACCACTGTAAGATAGAGCATTGGAGCCCTGTGCTTACCCCGGTAAAATTAATAAATCAAGGAAAAAAAATGTTTAGCTTTTGTTTTTTTTGCATTTAGTAAATCGTTTAGTTGCTTGTATAAAGCCGATGATCCTTGGTAGTGAGAATTAGTCCACTATGTCTGTCATGCTAAGATAAAAGGAGTCAAAGTATCCTCCTCGTTGGTAAGACCATTTCGGGCACTGGCCAATATAGTGGTTCATTGTCTCCTCCTCCGTGAGACAGTGTGGACAAATTTTGAGGACCGTTGTCGGCTTGAACTTATTAATGTGGTAGTTTAGTTCACAATTTCCAGTAAGGAATTGTGTTGCTGTTCTTATGCTCTCTTTGCCAAGTTTCGGGATTGATCTGGCGAACTTATGTCTCCATACTCGTTTGAAGTGAGTGTTGGGCAACGATCTCCATCTTTCCCTCATTTTCCGATGACTTATACTCCGCAGCGCTCCCTTCCACATTATACCTTTGGTATTGGTAGTTGCGCATGAGCGGAGTCCAAATTATCGGAGCCTTTTTTGGCAAGAGAGTCTGCCTTTTCGTTACCATCATAGCCTTTAAGAGCTGGAATCCATCGTAGTAGGACTTGATTGTCTGTTGCTAGTAGGTTCAGCTCACTTATTGCCCTGCTGGTGCTTTTTGATTTGACTTTGATATTGCTCATTGCCATTATTGTCACCTGGCTATCGCAGATTATGATGATTTTTCTACTTTTGGTTCCAGATTCCCGTAGTATTTTGGCTGCTGTGCCTATGGAAAATGTCCTATCTCGGCCTGGAAGACGGTTGAGTTGGTTCCTAGGTGGTAGGACTCCTCGCGTGGAGGGGTGTCGTTATCGACAATGTACACTCCTGCTCCAACTTGTTCATTCATTTTGGAGCCGTCTGTGTAGCATTGTATGGTGTTGGCGTCATTCTCAATTTCCTCGTACTCTGAGAGTCGTGGAATTTCTGTGGTAAAACCAATGTAAAGAACCACAGATAGTTTTAAATTTACGTTGTCGTATAACTATAAACAAGTAAATCCTGTTTTTAAGAATGCGCGGCGTTGGCGGCCAGTTATTGACTTATACATAAAATTGAATTTTAAATAGAAATGTGAATATATTAAAATTTAAAACTAAATATTATTATATTATGATTGTAAAATAAAGGATAAAATTTAAATTTGTTTCACACAAATTTGTTTCACAATTGACAATTAAATGTCAATATTCAGTGATATAGTTTATTGGTCTTGTCCTTCAGAATCGAGTTTGATGGCCTTTAGTAACTGTTCGTAGAGTTTTGTATGGGTGATTAGGTTCAAGGTTGCCCTTATATGATCTATGATCAGTTGGCATAAAAATTGGTACGAAAATTTGTCTAAAACTTTAATATTATATGAAATAAATAACCTAAATGTGTTGATTGACAATGTCAACCCATCAAGATCGTTGCTCTGCGAAGCAAGAATGCTAGTTTGCGCGGCGCGTCGAAGCGGCGAAGTCTTCCAAATAAATGAGCTATAGAAATGTTCTTTTTCGTAGGTTTGTAATATAACTTGATTCACGATGTCAATCATTCGCAGCTCGGCGAGGCCTAGTGGTACGTGCATCTCGCCGATCTACCGAAGAGAAAAATTATTTGATGTACGGCCCAGTAGTAAAAGTAAAATAAAGTAAAGTACAATTTATAACATAACATCATCACATGTGCATATGATATGTTTGTAGCGAGATGCGTTACTGTGCCTCGCTAGATCGGCGAGATGCGCTACTGTGCCGCGCCGAGCTGCGATGAATTGATGATGAATTAACACGACAATGGGGGTCACGACGAGATACAAGGGCCAATCAATCGTGCTTTCCAATAAATTTGTAAAATTCACACTTAGTCTAAAGCAACTTTTGAAGCAAAATGTATCAAAATCGGAGACCAAAATAACATGCAACTTATAAAATTTAGAAAGCGTTTGATTGACGTTTGCCTTCAAATATCACATATGACGTCCACGTCAGCTAGATTTCGGCCAATTTTTTTTCTTCCCCTGCCAGAAACTGTTAGCATTGAGCGACCCCTTTGTAGGTTTATAACCTTTTAAGACGCGCGCACCGAGTTGGACTTGTCGACGGTCCTGAAACAATAATATGTGAAACAAATATTTTCGGATTTTTTTCCCTTTGAATCAATAAAGTTAAATGATTTGTTGTAAATACTGAGATCAAACTACTTTTCTTTGCTTCCTCCTGCCTCTTCTTCCTCTCCTTTATGGCTAAAAACGAATATCTCTGTCTGCCTTGCAGAGGTCCAAGTTGATCCAATAAGTTGACTTTTTACAGCCCTTACCATGGTCAGCGTAGAAATTTACTGACTCTTCATCACGTGTCTGGATGATGAGCGGACGACGGTGATCTGGCTTGTCAGCATCAAGCTTGCCAGAGCGATGGCAGCTTATCATGTCGTCCTTCTTAATCTTTAGGGTCTCCATGCAGAACTTGGAGTCGTCCTCTTGACGTTGCTTAGTGGTAGTCTTTTTGCTCTCTGGAACCTTGAGCACACACAGATTGAGTTTTCGTTTGTTTCGCTCAAATGTATCAGTGTGCATCTTCATTTGTACTTCCGAAATAACAGTTTCAGAAGCTTGTTCACGACTCATGTCATCAAGAACCTTCTTCTGGGTTTGTGCTGTTACCTCAGAATAGCTAGACGAACAGCTTTATCAACTGTTTTTCTCTGCGCTGCCTTTGAGGGATTCTTTGAGAGAGTTTGTCAGAGATGGTGTAATAAGCTTGATCTCTTCTTTGAGGATAGCCCTGATTGCTCTGTTTTCAACAGAGTCGGGTGAGGTGTTGGGTACCACGAAACAATACGGACACTTCCAGTTGATAAGAAGTTGAAGCATTTCCTCCTTTAAACCTGTCAAGCCGACACAACTGAGATGCCAGTAAAGTTTACAGGATTCACACTCTACTGAAAGCTGCTACGGAATTTAATCTTCGCACTGACAATATTTCTCTTCAGACTTTGGAACATTGATGGTAGAATCCTCCTTTGGGGGGCTCATCTTCACTTTGCTTCGTGTCGACGCCCTTTCGGGTACATTCTTTGGCTTCATCCCTGAACTCAAATTATTTGTTATATAGTAGTGTTGAAAGTATTAAAACATTGCTATCAATATTTTAAAACTTTAACCAACAAATATTATATATTAAAGTCACTATTGTGACGGTACATTAGAACTAGACGGAAACAAAGTGTGAAGGGCCTGAACGGAACCCCTCGGTTTCAGTTCCTTATATACAAGTTTCAAAACACATGATCTACTCCATTATTATAGGGGCAGGGATGAGGTTGTATGAGACTTCTAATAGATGAATCTCATGTTTGGTGTCCACCTTCTTTCCTCTGTACCCTCGTAGAGCAATAAGAGTTGTTCTCAACATTGCAAATCTTATCCTTGTCCTCGCATACCTTACTACATCGCAGTGTCTGTAATCCTTCCTTTTTCTTGCTATGAGGTCTGCTACTCTACTTTATCAATATTATTAGATATTTTATGTCCTTATCTACTTGGATTGAAAATATCTTTTCCATACTCGACTGATCAATTCACAATTTTGTAGGCTTCAATTAAATCTCCTCTAACTCGTTTCTCTGGAAGTGTTGTAATCTGTAAGGCATCTAACTTTTCCTATGTATGAGAAGGGGCCCTGTCAATAAATCAAGTATCTACAAATGAGGAAATACTAACATTTATTATTAACGTGCTCTGCCAATTACATTTTTAATTGAATGTATACATTGTTTTTTCAAATATTGATAGAAATATATAAATTGTTGTCAAATAATTTTTCATCAGAGCGTGTTATCAGCTCACAGTGGGGCTCCATGCTGACATTTAGCCTAAAAACGAGTTTTCCTAATGTTTTAGATTGTTGTAAATTCTGATAGAGAATAAATAACCGGATTCAATGCTTTTTAAATTAGCTCAATATCTCGGTTGGGTCAAAATTTACAACCATTTGAAAAGCGCGCCTGAAAATAACCTGCCTGCACATGCCCAGAAACTCAATTTCACTGCCATTTTTGAGTCAGGCTGAGGTTCCTTTTGTTTTCAATGTTTTTCAACTTTTGATTGATTGAACATGGATATAAGCATTCTTAGTACTGTTTAAGAAGAAAAAACCATGATTTCGGTCAATTTTGGATTTTTGGTAGCTAAAATTAGAATATTTTTCAAAAATAGGCCTTAAAATTTCATTCGCTGACCACAAATGGGTGGTAAAGTTATAAATGGCCCCATATGGCCCGGGTTTCATTATGTTTTCTATGTTTTCCCATAATTTTTCTAGCAGAACCCAGAAAATTTGGCTTCGGAACGCTTCGGAAAAAAAATTATGACCCATTTTTGGTACTAGCCTGAGGTGAAAAATCGCGTCAAAATAGCGCGAAAAATGAAAACTGATAGATTAAAAACTGATTTTTTCATTTATTTCATAGCTTTTTGGTGAACACTTCGATATTTTATGCTAATACCAGCAAAGTTCAATTGGAATAAGCAATATTTGGATGGAAAAATAGTGCATATGAGCCAAAAATAGCCAAAATCTGGCAATTTGAGCTCGGAAAATCCAGGGGCAACTCTGATTTCATAGGATTTTTCTTATGTTTTTGTCATATTGCATAGTTTTTATGGTTCTTCTTTCTGAAATACCCTTAAACAATCACATCAGCATGATTGATGACCATTTCCATACGAAAAAGCAGAAAAATGGGACAGAAACCGCTTAAAATTCGATGAAATCTTAAAACTGCTAGTCAAAAAAGATGCTTTTTGTGTGACAGAAAGTGCCAAATTTTCGAAAAAATTGATTTTTTGCCCAAAAAAGTAGTGAAAGTTGTCCAATTTCACTGAAATAAGTCATAATTGACGATTTAATCCAAATTGACACCACCAAGATGTGGCCAGAGGCATAAAAGGGCAAAAAAACCAAATGTCAGCATGCCCTTTACGCGAGCCCCACTGTGCAGCTTTTGGAATAAATCGACATCTTTTGTTAGAAAGTTAGAAATTCAGTGTCTGTTACAGTGGCGTAACGTTGTCTGTTGGCGCCCCCGGCCGAAAAGGCGCCCCCTCCCCTTTTGGTGCCCCTCCCTAAAATTGAACAAATCAGGTGATTTTAGAGGATACGCCGGTAAAATCTCTAAAAAATGTGAATCTAGATCAAAACGCGCAGTTTTGCTAGTACTTTAGTTAAGTTTTCGAAGTTGTCCCCCATTCAAACGACGATTTGGCGCCCCCCTAAGACGGCGTCCCCTGCACAGCGGGGTCAGCGGGGCCCTTTGTTACGCCACTGGTCTGTTATCGATTTAAAACTAATCTAGAGGAATTTAGAAAGCTTATATTTATAGTTATAGTGAATGGAAATCTAGCGTCCGCCAAAACGAAACAACGGGCGCAATTCTTGTTAATCGACCAATTCGTACATTGTACAGGATTTCTTTCTACCCTGTTTTAAAAAATTTTCTATTGTTTTATTACAGACATTGTATTAGTTTTTATTTTTCGGGGGTGTCCAACATTATAGCTGGACAACATTTTTGAACATTTAAAATATAATTTGGAACATTACAGTAACGTTATTCAAATCTCAATCTGAAAAAGTATGTTTCAAAGCTTTGTGTTTTGATCATATGATCGTGGGTGTATAGTGATTTTGATTGCATGATTTTGATTGGGCAGTGATGGTGAGTGGAAAATGTTGGGAGTACCAGCCAGTTACTCTGTAAAATGAACAGCCCACTGAGGAGTGAGTGAGTGCAAAAGCGAGAACAGCAGAAAAGGTGGCACTAAACAGCACACTCAGAAAAGACACAGAAACTAAGCTGTGTGCGGTAAGTTAGCCAGTGTCTGAGAGCCGGTGTTGCCCGGCAGGAGGCCTCCAAATGAGGTACCGTGGTGAACTGTGGAGGCAAAGTAAGAGTGCAAGGCAGCTCTAACTGATGATGTTAGTTGACCATTGCCATATTATGTGTAGATTGTGTGAGTAATTTGATTTTTAGAAGCAACAAGTTCAATATTTGCCTAAAAATCCGTGTGTTGCCAAGAGAAAGGGAATAAATATCTCTTGAATTTTGAAAATTTAAAAAATTAACATGGTCCATTTCCGTTACCTATGTTTTGTGCTCTGCCAATTGCATCACTTGATTTAATTGAATGTATACATACATATATATACAATATATATATTGTTTGAATGACCTTTTTATTGAAAAAAATAAAAATCAACAGTTTTATGTAATTTATGTAAATAAGTTATTTTATGACAATTACTATGTTAAAATTTGTTTGTTCTCAATGACGGAGGCTGTGAAATGTTTACAGTTCTGATAATGAAGAATGTCTAAAACTAGTGATGATGTTTATGTTATTATTCTAAAAATCTATACAATCCTCTAACGGTTTCCCGATCATGCAGCTAAGTTAACCAAAATGATCTTACATGCATGTGCAATGTTACATAAATAAAACGGAATCCGTAGCTCACTCTCTTTTTGACAGGGCTATAATATATCCCATAAATGTGTATTTAACTGGCCCTATTTGGCCTCTCTAGCTCTGTCAGGAACTGCAGGCTCTTTTAAAATTAACCTTTTCATCCACCTCCTTACTTTGATTTTCTAACACAGTAACATGTTTTAGTCCATCAAATTGTCATGTGAATGAGAAGCTTCAAACTTTAATGTGTTTGTTTTTTTAAGAGAAAACGGCTGGTAGTTTGAGTACTGGCAAAACCTATGTTACAATAAGCTGATAATTTTAGGCCATGTCTATTCCCCTGGGTGCCATTATAAGTGCTTTGTCCCTGTTCGATCCTACCCCTTTTAAATCATTGTTTTTGTCATGTCTGTCAAGCTTGATTTTAAGCGTGTCCATCCTTGTTGATAGATAATTAATTGTATAACTTTGAAGTTTAACCTTTCACTCTGTCCAGATAACATGAATCAGTTGCTGCATTCAAGGGTGCGTTTAAAAGAAACAATAAGATATACAGTATGGTGGTGTTCATAGAAAACTTGTGGATGCTAGGACGATGACAAAGTTTAAGTTGTGACGATTCCCTTGCATAGTTTCAGATTTTCACACAAGTGTTCTCCATCTTTGTATCATACAGGTATGTACATTGTAGAATAAAATAAAATAGAATAGAATAGAATTTATCAAAAATGAGATGGCTTTCTGCTGCTGATAAGCTTTGTACACTTGTATCACATGTGAGGAATTTTTTTACAGCCACCTAGACTGGTTTTGACTTAATAGGCTAGAGCAGTACCAAAAGAACAGGATTCTTACAGGACGCATCATGCGACACACGAAAAGCACAATTGTATGTATCTAAATGATCGAATATTCAATTTCCTATTTAAAATTTCAATTACCCCGCTCATTGATATCATGACTACAACTATTGACCGTGAAAATAGTAATAGGGGATACCGCCAGCCAGGATCAAGCATTACGTTATTTCAGTCATGCAAAATTACATTGACATAATGTTTCAATATTCGAAATAACCTTTTTCTAAAGAGCTTATAGTATCTAGAAGGAACTTCTTCTGAATAAAAGCGTATCTTCGCAAGATGACCTTTTATTCATTTCAGAAACAAAGTTGAAACTAACTGGTCTTATACAAACCAAAGAGATAGTCTGAGATCAACGTTTACTTCATATGTACTACCTGGACTATCCTGAGCACCTTCAAGCTAACAGCTGGTGGCCCTATTCGACATCATTCAAAGCCGAATATCTGGTTATGTACCCTGAAGACAAGCGTCAATTGTAATTTATTATTTAGTACAAATTACAATTTCTCTAACAGCATGGCAGTACCTATAATCGAATAACTAGATGGTACCTCAATGGTGAACTTTTAACTGGACTAAACTGTGAACATTATTAATCCCCAGTAAGGTATGATGTGGGGTGTTGATTGTTAAATGTTGTTAATGTGTATAATGTATATTTGCTATATTTGTATCTTGTGTGTTTAATGATCTCCCACAAGGGCAGTGTTATACAAATATCTAAAATAATGCAGGAAAATGGGCTACAATAATCTGCAACACTCAGGTCTGTTACTTCCTAAAATATCTAAGCATGAATTGAAAATTTTTTACATCAAATTCAAAGTGTCTTTCTCATTACTTCTTTTGTAGCTCAATTACAATTACATTATATTATTGGCAGTGTATTACAGATGTAGGACACAGCAAAAGTTGTCACCTTGTAGTATGCACTATGCAGGGGCGACATTTCTACTTGACATGATAATGCGATGTTATAGTAACTCCAAAAGTGAGGGTTTCCTTTTTCCGAGGAAAATTCGCCCAAATTGGGAGACCTTACCCAAGGATTCCGAATTTTTTGGGTTTTATCATGTATTTTAACGACCAGGTAGCGCAGTTGGTTAGAACGCCAGCTTTGCAATCGTGAGGTTGCGAGTTCGAATCCCACTGTCTGCCTGGTCGTAGGGTGAGCGTCGTTGATGTTCAGCTAAGGATCCTGAGTGGTCTATGCCCCCGGTCTACTCAGCCGAATACTCGAGAAATCGGATGTGAGGGTTAAATGAGGAGCTGCCCATTGCAGCAAAGTCTCGGGCGAAGAAAGTATGGTGCACACAACCTTAACCGTCACTGGCCAAATGAATCCTTCGGCTTCCTGTAATTCGCTGGTTACACTTGTGTAACAATGTGGCTGTTGGAATACTCCGAAGTAAAATAAGTGAGAGATAAAAATTGAATAGTTGGCAATTTTTACTGATATTTTATTCTCCGGGCTATTTTTTGATTTAGCGATGTTATCTTTCTTAAAGGCCCCATAGCCTCTAGCCAAAAATAGCCAAAACTTGAGATATCATCGTAACAAAAATCACTGCTGTGAAAAGCCCATGAGATTAAGAGCTTGTGGGCCGAGGCCACGCCCTTAAATATATTCGCGAGTTTGAAAGACTGAAGCAGTAAGCATATTATAATATATCAGGATATATTAAGTCATCCAAATTAGCCTCTGTGAACACTTCTTTGTTAATTGTTTCTCAGAAGAATTTAATATTGATCAAAGTAGCAGACTTGTAGAAAAGCGCGATTGGCACATTTATATAATATATATTTTGTATGAATTAGTAACATACCATAAAATGCGTATTTTTCAAATTATTGGCAAAAATCTGATTTTTGGATTGATATTTTAAGTTGCAGATAGATCCAACATTTTGACAATATGCCAATATTTATGATTATGGTTACCTGCTCTATTATCTAGATTCTGCTCTATTATCTAGATTCTAGAGGTATTCTAGAGGCCCCGATGAAATGTGATATATCTAGTGGTCCCTATTAGAGCTAGCCTTACCTCAACAGTCTACACATACCTCAACACCTCAATACATTTATTATTCATCGGTCATCCTGATTAAAATTCGGAAATTTCACATTGGTGCTGATGATTTAACTCATGCGATGCTTGACTGTTAACGACTAAGATTGCGTGATCCGTTTGCAGTTCATCAAAATGTAAAACGAAAGCTTTCTAGCTCGATTGGACTATTGTAGCTTCATCTACAATAGCAGTCCGGTATGGGGTCATCTACATAAGACGTCCGGCAAATAGAGAGAGGGGGTGGTTTCTGAAAATCCCATTTATTTCAACTCTTTGACACTAATTACTCTGTAAGTTAAGATCCCTGTATTTTGAACGAAAAGTCGATTCCCAGAGCAGCTCATGAGAGCCGAGACCCAACTCGCATATTCTCCTACTATACTGCCTTTTATACTTCATGTCTCCAGCCAGTCTGACGACAATACGGACGTCCGGGGGAGGGGGAGGGATGGTTTTGAAAGTTCGGACAAACCCGGACAGGGGGAGGGGGTGGTATGAAAATCTGCGATTTTGGCGGAAGTACTAAGTAGATGGCCCCTATTACATCTGATTATCCAAGTTAATTGGTTTTCTCATTTAAATATGGTGTTTGCATCTTTAGACTTCGTGTCTCTTTCTACCACATATTTACTGAGCAATAACATAACCATAATAATGGGTCCAGTAATAAAGGGTTATTTTCGGAGCAGCGTAAAATAAAAACAAGCTGAAGGTTAGCTTATTCTGGTCACAGCATCGTCAACAGATAGTCTCGCTTAAAATAGTAAACAACATCACCTCCTCGGTCAATGACTGTTTGTAATGTAGCTAAATCATTGAATTTAAAAATCTTGTATCTAAGAAATTATCTGCTTAAACCACCGAGACACATTTTTACCAGCGCTGAAAAACACTACCCTCTTAAAAAAGTTCGCACCGTTCCTCATAAGTCATAACTCTGACTACTTCTTAATTGATACTCTTGGATCCAATCAGTATTATTTGGGAACAATGGACGATCTCTTACTCTACCTCAAATATTTCAGGATACTGTCCGAAGTTGTCTGCCTTATCAGTACCGAACGGTGGAACTGCACGATACCACACACGTCGTAACTTTCAGCCGCGTGGGACAACCTCGCAACAAGAGCATTTTGTACTAGCAATATTTCTGGTGCCTCTCGTACAAAAACACATCCATCAGGCATTTAGTGCGCGCGGCTCAAAACTTCGTAGGCGAAACGTTTGGCTATTCGAGTCGTCAGTTTAAACTAACCAAATATTTATAGAAAGGATATGGAGGAAAACAAGAGAAGTTTGGACGAGAATGTTGTATCGGACGGAGCAAAGAAGAAAGCGAGATCAGCTACTCAAGTACTCATACGGCTCTTGGTTCCCAACAAGGTATGTTAACAGTAACTGTATTTAACGTTGATTATTATGTCTCTACTATCTGTCCGCTTAAGAGTCATTACTTTTAATCTAATAACACTCTGCTGCAGGTAGTCGGTGGACTGATCGGTAAAGGTGGTGAGAATATCCAGAACCTTCGCTCCGCTTGTCCTGACGTTAGCTATTTTCTAATTTGTCGTCGACCTTCTAACCTAACCCTTAACTTAGAGCCCTTTCACACTATTGGATCATTTCCTGACCCATCCTATAATTTCCTAACCATAAATTACCGAACCCCATATCCCAATATTGAGAGGTCGAGTGCTGATCTAACCCATTCCCTCCCGCAAGGCCACCATCAAGGTAAAAGAAACCCCTGAATGTCCCCATGCTGAGGAGAGGTAATTCCTGCTTCCCAATTCAGCTACCATTATTTTCCCTTTACATCTTTCTTTCCCTTTACAAATTTCGTTTCCCTTAATTTTTGCAGCAATACATTTTGCCCGACAACAAGAAAATACACCCTATACAGGCGTATACACTTTGCAAAAATCTGTAATAGCTATAATCTAGGTTATATACTAGAAGTGCCAAGTTTGTAATTTTAACTAATGTTACTCAGGGTGGTCCATGTGGAGTGCGAGGTTAACGACATTTACGCTATTTTCTCTCAACTCATCCCTCAAATATTTGATGTAAGTTAGTAATTGGCAGTTTTTGATTACTTCAATCAAATTAAGATTAAAATTATTTTCAATTAAAAATAATTTTGATAAGTTAAGGGAGTTAATAAGTGCATTGCAAATTCTGTGTTATAAAAACTAACATAATGTACGGTTAGGAGAGGGGCTTTAAATTTACTAAAATAAAGATTGGTTGTAATCGGTTTTCGCTTGCATTCCACATCTCATATTCCTTGATATCATCTAATCTATCTATGAACACTCAAATTTGTATGAACCGACCTATATGAATTTTTCAGGGATTGACAAAGCAAGGCTATGATAACGTTAAAGAACCAGAAGTGTGTGTCCTCTTTTCTGGGGTCACTATGGGAAGCATCATTGGAAAAGGCGGAAAAGTTATCAGCGGATTGAGAACCAGTTCTGGGGCATTTATAAAAGCTTTTCCGAACAAACTCCAAAACTCAGACGAAAGGGTTTTGTTGCTTAAGGGTGAAGTTGACAAGATCATTGAATGTCTAACTCAAATCTACAGTTAGTTTTAAAAAATTGTTCTTTCATTTTCTGTTCAGCTACTCTTAAATTCAGCTTTTATCGTTGCAGTGCCGACTATACTGGACAGTGAGTAGGGGGGGGGGGGGGGGGGGGGGGGGTCCAAGGGGAACTTTGGGGAACTTTGGGAAAGTCCCCCAAGATTTCTGAAGTTCCCCAAAAAAAAGTTCCCCAAAACTCCCCAAAGTTCCCCAAAATTCCCCAAAATTATTCAAAATTATTCAAAATTATTCAAAATTATTCAAAATTTCTCTAATATACATTAATACCCATTGATGTTAACATGTATGTTATTATAAGGTATAATCTTAACTTACTTGTTGATACTTGCAGCATGATAATTTTTTTGGCATGATAATTTTTTTGGGGAACTTTGGGGAGCTTTGGGGAATTTTGGGGAACTTTCTGAAGTTCCCCAAAAAAAAGTTCCCCAAAATTATTTGTTTCATTGATAATTTTTTGGGGAACTTTGGGAAAGTCCCCCAGGTTTCCTGAAGTTCCCCAAAAAAAAGTTCCCCAAAACTCCCCAAAGTTCCCCTTGGACCCCCCCCCCCCCTGAGTATGCCTTGTTTGTTTACCCTTCCTGATTCTGGGTATTTACTTTCTCTTTTGAACGAGTTTTGTGCAATGCTCAATCTCGTTTTGACACTTAGTGTTTCAGATACAGTAGAAATGGACACTGGTCCCTACAAGCAGTACAACCCCGTAGACGGAGCCAGTATTCCACGAGAACCAGGCACGGGAGGATATCAGGACGGTGGTGATTCTTTCGACTCTGGTCGGAGATCCAACAACAACCGAGGATCTCATGGTTCCAACAGACAGATGGGATCTGGTTTTGCGCCTCCGCCTCCCTTCAGGAAGCCTGCTCCAGATTTCTACTCCGCTCCCTTCAAATCGAGAGGAGACCCTTACGGTTACAGTCATCACGGAGCTGCACAGTACGACTTCCCTCAGACAACTGCTCCTCCCACTGCTTATCCTACACCGGAGGCGGGCGGTTTTGGGTAAGTACAAATATAAACTGTGCTGTTGTCCTGTTAACGGGGCAGGGGGGGGGGGGGGGTCTTCATGTTAACTCAGTCTTACCCCCTTCTTGTATTATTGTCTCTAATCAGCTTATTAACTATGAAACGTTTTCAGAGGCGGTGATGATGGTCACGGAGTGGGTACTCTGTTAGCAAGCTTCATCTCCAAATACCCCTTCACCATCTTCCAAGGTACAGATGGGGACGCACACACAGTCAAGGAGGTCACACTCGAGAACACCTTGACAGGCTGCGTTATCGGTGATAAAGGTTCCAGAATCAGAGACGTCAGAAATTCATCTGGAGCCAGGATACGCATAGGTAGGTTTATTTAATCTATCTCCCAAATTTGGTGAATCGTACATTTTAAAATTGGATACTTCTAATTTGTTTAAGTTCGTGGGGGGGGGGGGGGGGGGGTCGACCACTGTCCACTGACCATGGTTTCCCCGGTATTGCTTACTACGACTCCTCTTCTTAATTTTGAGCACGTATCTTATATTCATTTTTATTCAAATTGAATAAAATTCACAATTTTTGAAATACGTCAAATTATCAACCCCCTTTTCACTTACCTTTTCAAGGGGTGTTTCGGCTGCCACTCCCAACTTCTTACATAAACATTTATAATGCATCATTCAAAACTCGTCATGTACTAATATGTTGCAGCTGATTTCGACTCGGCGGGAGCTGGAGAACGCCTGATAACGATAGAAGGTAACAACATTCAAGCTCACCTTGCTGAGTACATGCTACAGTGCTGTGTCCAGAGCTTCTCAGGACATGCTACAGAATCAGCGCGAGCACCGCCGCAAAGGAAGAAGCTCCAAGCTAACCCTGCAGCTGCCCCCAACTCCTTCAGCACGTGGGGCGCTGAACAGCCCGAACAGACTACTCCAGCCTCAACTGGCTGGTAGACCTACACTGGGTTGGTCCTGTTTGTTTGTTTTTTCGTTTTTCTTTTTACTACTAAAGCTGGTGTTATATTTGCTGCTCACGTTTAAAGTCGTGACCATGATTCTCGTTCACCAATTTGACGAAATTTAAAAGGGTAACAAATTTTGAGATCCCAAGAATCGATAAATTTGATGGTATTTGCTTGATATATTTCCTTTCTAAAGAAGTTTCGAATATAGCAGCGACGAATGCTCTGCAAATTTGGTTAAAGTTCTGCATCTTAATGCTGAGTGTTTTATACAGTAAAATCTCGATTAACCGGGCTCGATTTTTTCGTTCGATATTATATCCCGTCTTCCCAAACACACGCTTCCTGATAGGCCCTGTTAATTGAGGGTGTACTTTATTCTAGAAAGGGGGAAAACTTAACTTATAGAAATTCGGTTACAACTTTGGAAAAGTTTTCGAAATAGAGAAAACAAAAACTTTACACTCTTGATTAAAATTGAGCTTGCAAATTCTCTCCTAACTTTCTTTTAATTTCGTTGGTTATTTATCGAATCAGAATATTCAATATGAGATTGACAGTTTACAGTGTTGTTTTTTATCATTAGGCGTTAAAAATCGAAATTATTACTTTTCAGCGCTAAATTTATCATTTTGTCACAAAAATGAATTTCAATGCTCAAGTCTACAATACCATTTAAAAGTTCTTCTTAATCATGAAATTCAGGGTTAAACATTTGATGAAATTACAATACAGCTCGATGGCAATTTAAATTTTACAACATCATCCATAATTCTTATGAAACGACAAGTAATTAAAAAATCAATTTATTTTAGCGATTTAACACATGATGGCAGAAGCAGCAACTTCGCGAGGTCGAGGTAGGGGTCGTGGTGCCCCTCGCGGAGGTCGTGGTGGTTACGGTCAGAAACGACCTGCTGAATCCTTCGACTACGAGGACTATGGTTCCGGAGGTGGGTACACCAAGAAGAGGAAGATAATGGACGATGTGTACAGATTCCTGGTGAGAGAGGATCTGGTGAGAGCTGTCATTGGGAAGGGTGGAGATCACATCAGGATGATAAAGGAGGAAGCTAAAGCAGCAGGAATTGAAACCAAGGTGTCTATCTACGCTCAGGGGTCAAATGGCGCCCCCCTGATGGAAGGTGCTGTGGACAGAGTCATGAGTGTGCAGTCCACCGGGGACGGATTAGAAATGGCGCTCACAAACCTCCTGCCATCAGTGCAAATCCACCACAACCACAAATCTTTCAGAGGTGGTCGCGGAGGGGGTGGAGCACCGGGTCAGAAGAGTCAGAAGTTAGAACTCCGTCTACTGGTGCCAGCTCATTGTTGCAGTGGTATCATCGGTAAAGGTGGCTCTGTTATTAAGCGAATCAAAGAAGAGACTAACTCCTACATCCAGGTTTACACTCTTCCCATGCCGGGCTCAGAGGAACATTGCGTCAGAATACAAAACTTTGAAGCTCCTGACCTGATTGCGACCGCTGTCAAAGTGTTTGAATCAATCGCAGATATAAAAGGAAAGAACCCGATAATCATGTACGATCCAATATACTTTGAGCATGGAGAATACGGTGATACCGGTAGTTATATTGACACAGAGTGGTATCAGGAAGCACTACGATCAGGGGTTGCTAAACCCACTCCATTCAAACAGATACGAGGATCATCAAGAGCCGCCCACACTGCTCCTGCTGCCCCACATGCTGCTTACACTGGATATGAGGAGGAGTATGAGTATGGGTATGAGCATGAAGGGTACGGTTATGGGTACGATGAAGGTTACGGTTACGCTGAAGAGGAGTACGGTTATGAAGACTACTACGCATACGCTCCCCCAGCACCCGCGCCAAGAGCACGAGCACGTGGTGCCCCACGTGCACGCTCTCGAGCTGCTCCTCCTTCCAGAGGTTACGGAGCCCCCTCATCAGCCCCCAGAGGTTATCCTCCTCGTGGTAGAGGTGCCCCCAGAGGAGCTGCCCCCAGGGGTGCTCCTAGAGGTTACTCAAGAGGAGCACCACGAGCACGTGGAGCTCCCCGCGGTAGAGGAGGTCCTCCTCCAGCTGCTTCCTACGCTCCTGAGGAGGCCGTCGAATAGACACTTGCTTATATTGATTTTAAACATCATGATCATCTTTGACAGAAAGCCATTTATTTCCCCTACAAGTATGTTTTCTATTGTGAGCGGACTATTTAAACAATCTCCCATTCTTCTTACGAAGATGACGTATATATACTTCTAACTGAGATGACTCCGGGGGGGATCATACACTTAGTACCGGACATGACGTTGGTGGGTGGGTCATTTTTTCATTCTAACAACACTGTTAGTACATGGTACTAACTGGTGGGTCTACTGCCCATTTTCCAGAAAAACAGTTAGTACATGGTACTAAAGGGGGTGTCTAACCCCAAAAAAACCCATTTTACCTCAAATTTCAATTTTGGGAATGGGTTTTGAGGTTTTTTTAGTTTTTTTTTGGTTTTTTTAATTTTTAAAATTTTTAAAAGTCTTCCTTTAAAGTTTAAATGAGCTCTTTAAAAAAAAGCAATTTCTGGGTGGGTATCTTATTCTATATACCAAAAAACAGTTAGTACCACGATTTTTCGACAGTTAGTACCGCAAAAGGCGGCAAAAGGGGTGGGTGTCTTACGTATTATCCAAAAAAACAGTTAGTACCGCAAAGGGGGTGGGTGGGTCTAGTGAAAAATATCCAAAACTACACTTAGTCGACGTGATGTCCGGCACTTGGTACCTGATCCCCCCCCGATGACTCGAATATCAAATTTGTAAGGAGCTCCGAAAATTGTTTATCGGACGTGCTAAGGTGTGCGTGTTGCCCAAAGCTCTCTAACATCTTTACATGTTAATTTATATCTGATTTAATAATTCATTTTTAATCCTCTATTATCATTTTCATTATGTGTTGTGTTGGTTATTTTGGTCACCCTGGCCCTGTTGCAAAAAATCGTGGTAGTAATAGTGACTATTACGGCAAAAATTATTTATAAACGTAATTTTGAAAGGTAACTTTCCAAAAAATAATAGCTCAAAATTTACTGACTTAACACCTCAATATTTAGCTGCTGCCTTCATGGCTGAAGCACCCATCAGAGGTCGGGGACGAGGTAGACCTCGCGGTGGTTTTGCACAGAAGCGCTCTGTGGAGTACGAGGATTATAGCTCTGCGGTGTACAGCAAGAAGAGGAAGATAATGGATGATGTGTACAGGTTCCTAGTAAGGGAGGACTTGGTTCGATCAGTGATAGGTAAGGGGGGAGAACACATTAAAATTATCAAGGATGAAGCGAAGGAGCACGGTATTGAAACTAAAGTGTCTATCTACGCTCAAGGAGCAAACGGGACGCCTTTAATGGAAGGATCAGTGGACAGGGTGATGAGTGTACAGTCTACGGTTGAGGGACTTGGTATGGCGCTGGCTCATCTTTTACCATCAGTTCAGATTCATAAAAACTTCAGAACTGGTACCCGGGGCGGTGGGTCGTTCGGCAGGGGAAGTCAGAAACTAGAGCTGAGATTGATCGTGCCATCTCACTGCTGTAGTGGGATTATAGGGAAAGGAGGGTCTGTTATCAGGAGGATTAAGGAGGAGACTAAATCTTACATTCAGGTTTACACACTTCCTCTACCACTTTCAGAGGAGTTTTGTGTCAGAATTCAAAACTTTGAAGGCCCGGACTTGGTTAATACGGCCGTTAAAATATTTGAATCGATAGCTGATATCAAAGGAAAGAATCCAATAATCATGTATGACCCAATATTCTTCAACCACGGTGAGTACGGAGACACAGGGAGCTACATCGACACAGAGTGGTATCAGGAAGCTTTGAGATCGGGAGCAGCACAGCCTACACCCTACAAGGCCATCAGCTCTCAAACTCAAAGCCGATACCCAGCTTACCCAGCTTACGAAGAGGCACAGTATGGGTACGAGGAGTTCGTGCCTGGGTACGGGGGGTATGGCGAGGACTATGGGTACGAATGTGGAGATCCTTATTATTACGACTATTACGAGTACCCTCCCCCGGTACCACGTGGCAGGAGCCGCGCACCCCCACGAGGGAGGGCCTATCTTAGCCGGGTCTTGTCTAGGGGCTTCAGAGGTCGGCCTAGTTATGAGGGCCGGGGATTGAAGACGGGGAGAGAGAGCTCTGTTAAAATAGAATCTATGGACTTCACCGAATCTGGAGCGGATACTGCTGGACAGTCTGCTCAAATTTGAAATCATTTTACTATCATTAAAATTACAATATTTTGCTTCGAAATGTTTTCATTATTATTATTTTCCGGGGTTTTGTCGATCTGTAAATTTTTTGGCTCTTGGGATGTTATCAGACAGTTGAGAAAGTGTACTTTTAACGCAACCTCTAGGAGCCGTAACTACAGTTCGATTAAAAAGTCAAGTTTTGCATTTTAACGAAACTAAGCGTCTTCAAATCGAAAAAAACTAATTTTAAATCAGTCAAGGCTCGATTTTGACGCTATAAGTATAAATTTCTTCATCAGTGGTTCCTAAGGCAGTGTAGTACATCATATAAAATAGTGTAGTACGTCGTATAAATTCCACATTTCAAGCTTTCCAATTTGCCGTAGATTCCGTTTTTCGGGGTTTCCGACGTTTCTCTGGAATTGTATCTGTTTTTAAAAGAATAATCCCTATTTCGAGATGGAAAAAAATAAAATAAAATTCGTCTAAAAAACTTTTTTCATCGACCAATGGTAAGTTTTTAGAGGCGGCGTTGAAAGTCTACTTGTTCGATCACCCCTTGATGTCGGTTATCTAGAATCTAGATATAATTTCCTTGCCCATTTTCAGGAATTCTGAAATTATCGTGCGAGCAAAAATATTGTGTTTAACAATGTAAAGATTGCGATGAAGTTTGAAACAAATTTTAAGTTAATACAATTTCATTGACAGGTATAATAATTTATTGTTTTGTGATATATTTTCATTGATTACATGTGAATAAATAGACTCTTTGACTCTGGCTATATAATCAATGAAGAGAAAAGCGAAAAGAAATTAAAATCCAGTAAAATTTGAATAAAATGTGTTTTCCTAAAAGATCACGGTTCGTGTAAACTCTTGAACATAACCCAAAAAGATTTCAGAAAATACAAATCACTTTGATGATATTCGCAATCAACGTCGAAAATGTCGTCAATTACAAATTAAGGTAAAATCGTTTAAAATTAGAAATCAAGTTGTTATCGTATTTCTCAGAAAATTCGACGAACTTTCGTGACAATTGTAAAGTCGAAGATAATTTAAATTTGTTTTGAATTTTCATAAATTTTAATCATAACAAATTACTTTTCAGCAGAGCCCTCAACTTTTCAAATTTGCAGATATCACAGATAACAACGTTGATAGCTCAAAATGTCAAATTTTGAAACCGCCATCTTGTAACCAAATTTAAAATGCCAATTACAGAATCAAGGTTCAGGTATGTCTATTTTAATTAAAAAATTCCAATTGAATTGCTCGTAAATTCAATATATCGTAGATAATAGTGATATAGGGGTAATTTTCAAAATTAGCTTTTCCAAACTCAAATTTATGGTAAACTTCTGTCATTGTTATTCATTTTGTAACTATGGTGGTTCGTGAAATTGGTGGCTATTCTATTTAATTTAAATATCATTCAAAAATTGCCTAAATTTTATTTTTTTTCTTCTACTTTTTCCGGAGCGGTTAGGAACAATTTTTAGTCCTCCAAATAATGGGTTGCTGTTTTTAACTCGTAACTTATTTTCAGAGCGTGTGCTAAAGTCGAACCAAGATCTATCTGGTGTTGTCTCTCTTGGACAGTGGGTGTTGTATCTCTTGGACAGTGGGTGCTGTCTCTCTTGGGTGTGGTCTCTCTTGGACAGTGGGTGTTGTCTCTCTTGGACAGTGGGTGTTGTCTCTCTTGGACTCCAGTTGCACTCTACAGCTATGCTATTTTCATCCATCACCAGCCTTTTTATTATCGGGACTGTTTTTGACAGAACTGTTCAGCTATGAATAAAATATTAAACTGGAATACAGATAATGTTTAATTTGTTAATTTAATTGGGTGGCGGAACATAATTACTGATTCTGCTGGACTGTATATTAATCTTATGTTCGTTTATTGGACTATTTATATTTGTGCCGAGTTTTCAGTGTCTGTACTTTGAAACTTAACTTTTTATTTGGTCTACTTAAAGTTTTAATACAAACTGAGAATGATTTATGTGAACAAGGATATGTTGTTGTGTGCCCCCTTATTTATCCTGAACAACATTATCATCGGATTGAAAACTGTGATTAAAATTCCTGATACTAACAGTAATTGTAATAACTACAACAATTGAAACGATCGGAATTGGTGAGCAACTTGAACTAGCAACTAATCGTTTGCTCTATAGATTTAGTTTAAGCCATCTGAAGAGACTCCTAGCTTATGTTAATGACTTGTTGATAACTGTTTTCACATAAATTAAGTTGCTTTCTGATGATTTTTAAGATTACAAATTTGTTAATTCCTTGTTTCATTTGACTCCTAGAATAGTTTATAATTTTCTAAGTATACTAAGTGTAATAGTTTACATAGCTAATTTTCTAAGTGAGCTCTCAAATAGTTTCCCTTGAAGCCTAGTATTCTTCCAAGTTCAAAAATTAAGTTTAAGTCACCTTCTCCAGTTCCCCTTAAAAGTTCTGATACATGAACTGTAGTATACACTATGCAAATTACACTTCTTATTTGTTCAGTACATGTTCTACTTACGTGTTATTTTTATCGTGGCAGGTCTTTAAATTTAAACTAAGATCAACCTGAATGTTAGTAGTTATTGTCTGCTGAGTCTTGTTATGGGCGATGTAACTCAATAGCACAAGAAATACTGTCTGTACCAAGATCGTGTCGCAACTGCACGTCATTTTGTCGGTAGAAGAGTTGTTATAAGAAGGTTATAAAATTACAGCCCAGTTATAGGTTCGTTATTAGGTGGGAAATACCTTCTTTATTCAACCAATTAAGAAGCAATACACAGTCTTGTAGTCTTCCATTGGAAATCTGAGGGACTATGATTCTTTCTAAATGCACCACGGAGAATATACTTTGTCTCTATAATTCTGTAGTCATCGCTCCGTATATATAAAACGGTAACTAATTGCGGAACATGCATATTTATGCGTAATTCTTCAAATTTATTCGGATTATGTGAATGCAATAATTAAATGATAAATTTTAAAAACCGATATTATAAAAGATTGTAAGTATTCGCATACTAGAAGTTTAATTTGTGGGAAGGAAAAGCTATGGCTTTTTAATTTGCCTTATCTTGTTGTAATACTTAAACTGACGCTAAAACTCTTATCAGAGTTGTTTATACTTTTCTTAGAATGGCATATCCTGGAAATAACACTCCGTGAGAAATTTCACAGCCTATAAAATGTGCCTATCTGTAATAATATATATATAATGATATAGAATACCGTTAATATTCACACTTCATCCTGTTACTACCACTTTAACCGTTACATATCGTGTTTAACCCTGACCAAGTCTCAATTGGCATGTTGCACGTAACTGGTGCATGACCTGTTACTATAACTACGTACGAACATTTTTGTATTCCATGTGAGTATGTTTATATTCAGTGTGTACTTCACTCCACATTCATAAATATAATGATAGTCTCCCATGAGGAAGGGGCACACGTGTTTTTACAAAATAGTTACTATTTCTCAACAAAACACGTGAGGCTAAACCTTAATGTGATTTGTTGTGAAATAGTAAATCCAACATGCCTGCCTCGTTCCCTTCAGAGATACGGATGTCAACTTAATACCGGTCTCTATCTTCACTTGCATCCGCTTCTGGTCCATACATTTCCATCCTACACGGACTCATTCTTTCATTATGTGGATTATCTTACATTTTTTTCATGTCTCTACCACAATTTCTCGCCTCCACTCTCATTCATCATTTCAAATCTCCATCATTTGTCTGCTGTTCAGGTCTATCTTTGATCTGTTTATGCTACATGTCTTCAAGTCTCAATTTTTTTCTCTCATTGTGTTTTTTTGCGGTTCATATGTCTCAATGGCTGTTTCTGTGTCTCAATATGACTTAGTGTGAATCGATCTTGATTTATCCTTCTCAATCTTAGTCAATGTCTCTATTTTCGGTTCTATATGTCTCAATTGTGTGCCTCAATCTATATGCCTCAATCTATATGTCTCAATCTATGGTACATGTACTCCAATCTTGGGTCCATATGATTTATTGTCTTTATCTTCGGTAACTGTGTCTCAGTATTAAGTTCCTCTGCCTCAATTTTTAAAACCCAAGTCTTAATCGTGTATTCGTATGTCTCAAATCTCTGATCATTTGTTTAATCTGTGCCAACCTTGGATTATCTTTCTCTGTCTTCGGTTCATATGTCTTCGTTCCATAAATCTCAATCTTCTATTCCCGATCTTTTCTTAATATTGACATGAATAATGAACAGAATGTGGAGACACTATGTGAACATCTAAACAATGTTCCTCTTACCAACTAAATCTAGATATAAAGATCCAGACAAACTGCATCCACAATTGTGAAGATCACATGATCTGCAATATTTCATTGAGTGAACAGCTTTTGCAAATATTTTGTCAATCAATTAGTCATTGTTGGTATAAAGAAAGAAGTCTGTTCATATGTAAAAGTTTTGATAATCTTCGAAACTGTTCCGTAGAAAAAATGTTTCTCAGAAGTTCAAGTAATTAAAAGTAGAAGACAGTTGTCTGAATCTGAGAGTTCTTGTAAGGTTCTGGTTTCAAAGATAACAGACTTCATTGACGAATGTTTTGCAAACAATTAGTAATTCCCCAATTAGATCATTAATAAAATTAAACCTTTAATTAAAACGTTGGTAATCGCCAAAAGTTTTAAGTAAGAATTTGTAAGGACCCATACCTAATTTAGATTAAATTTTCACCTATTTAATTTAATGATATAATCAGTGAACTAGCCAATTTGCTAATGATCATCTATCTGGTTAGCTGGTCAACGAAACGTTTCAAACATTAATTATCTTGAGTGAGATGGCATGTTAACAGAGGGTAACTCTCTAGTATTTCTATAACCGGAGACATCGTACATGGCTAATTGGTATAGAATAACAATTAGTACTCATCATGATGGTATAAAATATTGCCCTGTCGTTTATCTTAATCAAGATATAGATTATAGGGATAACCGGAGGTTATATGTATAAACCGGAGGTTGCAATATTCTCTATATAATTGCGAAGTGTTATTGTAGTATCACCATATCTATAATGTGCAGTAGTAGTAATAGTATGACAATATGTAGTATATGTAGTGTAACCAGCATGCTACTGATCACGTGCCTGATCACGTGACTGTGTCTACGCTACATGCTAATCTCCGTCTTAAGAACTTAAGAAGTGTCCGTTAATAAACTAACAATTGAGTGATGAAATATTTGATTAGCGGATAATGAATCTCAACAACAAACTTATTCTCGGATATAGTGCAGATCTCGTGACACTAGGAATTGCACGGGATTTGTGATTATATGCTAGTGAGACCAAAATCTCTCACACACTACTTCAATTGATAATTGAAGTAGTGTGTGAGAGATTTTTATTGCTAATGACCGAACTAATGACCATATAACTAACAACTAATTGATACACTATTCCTAGCATGATCTACCCTGGAATGACCCAGAACATTACTCCCAGATCTGCCGTTGACGGAATTTCTCATCTCTTGACTAGAACTGGGGAACTGAAGGTTTGTCCCGAAAATTCCAGAGACATGGTTAATGCTCTTATATTAATAATCATGATAGATTAATACCCTTCATTTATTCAACACAATGGATTCCATTTTAAACAATCTTCTAAAACTTTCCTCCTTATTCGATTTTATTGAAACATCAGTATTCGTCACATTCCTTTTTACAGGGAGACGATGAAGCGATATCACTGTTGGATTCTATGAAAGAAGCAACACTTCTATTCCAGAGAGCTATATACTTAGAGGTGCTGAAGATAACGGCCAGTGAGAAGACTCTGGGGACGTACCTTTCAAAGGGTGGTTGGGACCTCCTTAACTCCTGGCTTTCAGGTAATATCGCTCACAAGTAGTACACACAAGTTTCCTACAAGTTTCCTACTTAATAATATCTAGTTGTACGGTGTTCTCTGTGTTATAGCTCTGTTTATTTAAGTCTCCGTGTTCAGTAGTTAATCTTACTGGCATTCTAACATTCTAACACACTAACACAACTTGTAACGCTCCATTTTAAGGCTCCATTGTAACGCCCCATATTACAGATGCTAAGAAGACGTCTAACAATGCCCTGGCAGTGGAAATACTGGAGGTTCTACAACAGGTCCCAGTAACACTAGGGCTACTGAAACAAGGCAACATGGGCAAGTTAATGAAGAGTTATAACAAGTCCGAGGATAAGGAAATCAAGAAGAAAGCTGGAGAGTTGATGGACTCGTGGATGAAGTTGGTGCCCACTGCTGGTAGTGGTAAGAAGAAGAAGGTGAATGAGGATGGCTTAACTAAGAAGGACCAACTTGTTCCAAAGAAGGCTGCCTCTAAGTCTGTTCATTTGGGTAAGCGTTTCTTTTCTTATAGCTGTTGTATTTCAAGGTTAAATGTTGGTCGTACAGAACATATACAACTAAAAGTAAAATCACAATTTGTGCCGGTGGTATAATACCCTCTTAATACTAATATTTAATACCCTCTTAACCTCTTACCATTTAGCCGAGAGTCTGGGGTTCCTGGACGCTATAACCAGTACTAGTAAGACTACTAGGAAGATAAGGAAGAGAAGCTCTACTGATATAGACTTTAAGAGATCTAACAGTCAGTCCGAAACCCCTGAACCTTCACCAGTAGCCAAATTTAGTAAGGTAAGCTGACAGTCATCAATTATCACGCAGCCAACATGCAATCATTTTATTAAGTGGTTAAAATTTGAAACATTTTCAAACATTTCCGCAAACTTATTCAACAACAATAATGCTTGCGCTTGCTACCATGACAGTTGGAAATTAAAAGAACTAAAATCGCAGGTGGACAAATTAAGTCTGACAATAGATAAGCCAGCCTCTCCTAAAGTTGACAATCCTATCAAGCCAGAGATGTTACTGACTAACTCTCCTCCCCCTCTTCCTGATAAGAGCCATGGTAATGATAAGATGTTCTGCTTCAGACGAGCCAAGAAGCGGAGAAGGTTCGTACTTTAGTCACAAATATATTTCTCTTATATAATACACGTGATAATACACGTGCTCCCTGCTCCAGTACACCAGTACACGGTGGGGTGGGGTGGGTTGGGGTGGGGTGGGGTATTTTAACACAGGAATCTTAACTGCTTCTCCCTCTTACCTACCTGAATATTTAGAGCAACAAATAACTTAATTAATTTAAGTTAATACCATGAATATCTGTCAGGATAAGATGGAGAGATGAGTTAGAGGAGGTACAATTCTTTGAGTGTGAGGAGAAGTCTGCGAACCACAAGTCCTTCTCAGAGAGTCTCACCAAGGAATACGATAAAGAGAGAGCAGCCGTGCTCCGGAGCAGACAACTTGAGGAAGACATGATGGTCGAAATGGTGAGTAACGTAACTGGATGGGACCAGTAAACGACACGGACGGAAGAAAATAACAAATTTACAAAAGTGCAGCATTTCGCACACAGATATATAACTGGAAAGTATAGCTAGGTGCTAAGTTCGAAAGTTATACAAGTACAGAGGACAACTTTCAAAACATGGTTTTAAGACCACCCAAAGTTGTGTCCGATTCAGTTCATCCTCAAAGAGAAGCCACCTACAGGATATGTAGTAGCCACATACAGTATGATATATGTAGTAGCCACATACAGGATATGTAGTAGCCACATACAGTATGATATATGTAGTAGCCAACTACAGGATATGTAGTAGCCAGTAGGTGGCTTATACATACAATATGATATATGTAGTAGCCACATACAGTATGATATTATATGTAGTAGCAAAACTAACTGACAGGCTTTTAAGCTTTTAGCACACAACCAAATTATTGAAATTATTTATTGTCAGGCCCCCTGGAAACACCCCCTGAAGTTAGATGCCAGTATGTTAACATTGGCAGAGAAGGGGGCCTCTAGTAAGGAAAAGGAGACGCAGAGAGAGCGAGAAAAGAACGTTCTAGCAGTTCTAGTGTTCGATCAGAACGCAATGGTGGAGTCTCCAAAAGAGCCTGATGCTGAGGTGAGAGCTAGTTTGTAATAATTATTCAATTTATTATTTATTTTGGTCGGCATATAATCTAATTGTTATTATTTCCGAATTATAGATTTAAAGAAAGGTAGCATATTATTATATATATGTATATTATTATATATATAGGTAACTCTAATATTGCCCGGTCATCCAACTTTTCAGAAACAAATGTAAATTAACATATTCCCTCAGGAGCTGAACTACACGTTTGTGACACCCAACATCATCCCCTTGACAGACAGTTCACAGAGTCAGCCTACTCCAGAACCAGAAACCCGAACACCAGAACTTTCTCCTCCGCAATCAGTCCCACAAACCCCCTTCAGCGAGACACCAGGAACTCAGCAGCTACCTCCAGTACTTGCCAATATAATCCCTCAGCCTCTGCTGATGCCCTCCATGCCCTCTATGCCGGAGATGCTGCCCCATCCTAATCAGGATCTGCTGCCCCACCCCCAGTACAACTTGCCCGTACAGCGGTACCCAAACCAGCAGAACCAAGTACCACCGCAGCAACCACCACAACCACCGCAGCAGCAGCAACAGCAACAGCAATACCATCCTGTCCCACCGAGCCAACCTTCCTCTTACAATAACTACAACCCAGAAAACAACCGCAACTTTGACCCCCACAGTCGTAATGGTCGTGATAACTACAGTAAGAGAGGTGAGGGAGGCTGGAACTACAGGAAGGGAGGTCATGGAGGGAGACAGTACCGGGATTGGATAGACTCGGACCGCAGGAGGGATGAGAACCCCCGATTCCAGCACCGACCCAGGAGACCCTGCGCTTACTTTAACACAAAACAGGGCTGCAGAGAGGGCAACAATTGCAAGTTTATACACGAGACTGGGTTACACGGCTCACTCCCGGGACAGTATAATAGACAGTGGGATGAGAGGGACAGTAGGGACGGCCGGGACAGAGGGGTCCACATCAGTAGGGACACAGAAGATAAGGACCAAAGTAAGAACTCTGATAAGACAGCAGAGTCGCTGGAGAATAAATCTCCTTCAGCAGCAACGTGACGAAGTGTAGAGCACTATATCAATCATACTTGATCCAATACACTTGTTGACTTGCTAATGTGAGAGAGAATAAAAGACACGGACTTTGAATTCAGTCGAGCCAATCTTTATGTACTTTTCACACGAACAGAATTATTGACATATTAGCCAGATCAAATTGGCTGGGCGTGTTTTTGTTGCATGTACGTATCCCAAGTAACACAGTATTTCAGTTTGCTATCATATAACTGTTTTATACTGTTAAAGAGTGGAAGCTTTTAATTTTTACACCCGAATTCCAATTTTGATAATGTTTGATGAATCTTTGTCAGAGAATCAATTATTAATTTATGGTATTTAAGGATTTGACTTTTAATAAAATTTAATTGTTTCAGTGTTCTGCATCTGGAGCGCTGCTCGATAAAAATAAAAATAATACATTGGGGATCATGAAACTGTAAGGAACTTACAAACGACTCCACCATCGATAATTTGGAGATGTGCCAAAATGTGACCACGACATGAGCTATTCTTGAACTTCTGAAGTAATTTAAGAAGTCGTCAGCTCCCACATAACATTTTATCTTATCAGTTCATTCTCATATGACACCTTGACCCAGTTTTGCGTGCTTTGTTCGATTTTTGATAAGTTGTCAAATTTGAAGCAAGCACTCTATCTTAATCATGATGCCTTGTTCATCAATGCCATCGATACTGTCAGGTTATTATAAATGATAAATCAATGTTTAGTTAGTACTTTTCATACAAAATTATTAATATGATCGGATTATTAATAGGTTATGCAACTGAATTCAGAGTATTGATATAATCGCATATGCTATGGCTGCGACTGATTCGGTTGAATCTCATTAATCAACAACAAACAATCCTATAGTTTGGAGCCCATCAATCATATGAAGGATCATTGCAAGTTGAAATAGGGATAAGAAACACCGTCTTATGGTGACAGTGGTATTTAAATAAGCCATACTTGTGCCGACATCTAGCTTACATTTTTTTAAATCAAGACACTTATTTTACTTCGGAGTATTCCAACAGCCACATTGTTACACAAGTGCAACCAGCCAATTACAGGAAGCCGAAGGATTTGTTTTAGCCAGTGACGGTTAAGGTAGTTTGTACCCTACTTTATTCGCCCGAGACTTTGCTGAAATGGGCAGTTCCTCATTTAACCCTCACACCCGATTTCTCGAGTATTCGGCTGAGTAGACCGGCTGAGCCAATAGAATAAATTTCATGGCATAAAATGAAGAATTACTCAAGGGTTATTCCATTTTCTCCTTAGAAAAATTCTCCATTTTAAGCCATTTAGAAATTTAAAAATGTAAAATCCCTATTTTTTACAAAATTTTGGACAGTTACAGGACGAAATAAACAAACTTCTCGTATCTCTTATATGTTTTAAAACAAATCCCTCTCCAGGACGAAAGAAGTTTAAACCAATATTCATCTAGAATCTAAAATCTAAATATCATTTCGAACACCAAATAGACAATTTTTGCCCTTTTAGTTTTATCGTATTTCGACCTTCAACAATTTTTCAGCTCGAACACGAGGGTCCCCTTTTTTTGGTATTTTTAAAAGTTTTTCGAAGTCCGCACCTAACCCTCGATGACGATATACAATCTTGAAAACGAGGCTTCCCTCTGTAATGCGATCTCGGAGGGCAGGCCTCTCCTATTATATGAAACACTTACCTGGGGACCTCAGGCTATTATGTTCATAAACATAGAGATTCGGCGGAATGACAGGCTGAGCGCGGCCCAGTAAATGTAACACTACTACTAGCTCGGAAGCGTGGATAGGAGTTGTCTTTATATTAAAGGTGTCTTTATATTAGAGGTTCGTATCGAGTAAGTAACAAGTAATTCAAATTTTAACGGGTGATATAGATACTCGTAAAATATTTGTTCCAACTCGGCTCGCGTCCTGGTAGGTTGTAAACCTACAATTCAAATTAAAAAACGTTTTCCTGGAAATCACTTTTCTCCATTAAATTATGTGCAGAAAATAATTTGTCCGGACCTAGTCTAGCTCTTGAGAATTTTCCTGGAACCACCACTGACCACTTCTTTTAATTTGACCATTGTTAATGGTCTGGCCCGGCGCGCTACTTCGTAGCACTTGCCGTCGGGCCATTTCGAGAAGAAAGCGGCGCGCGCTACTTCGAAGAAATTTAGACGAGTAACATCCGTCAACTATTAATTAAATCGGCGAGATGCACCACTGGGCCTCGCCGAGCTGCGAAGAATTGACATCGTCAATTAACATTTGTGTCGACATTTATCTTACGGAGAATTTTGAAAGACGAAGAACCACAAACTAAAATATATAATATAAAAGCAAAAAGTTATACTTATTGCAAGGCGCGCAGTTTGAGGAGTGCTTATTTTTGATTTTATTTGTGGAGATACAATATGCAATAATACAGTAATACAATAAATAGTTGTTCATAATCATTGTTATTGCTGCAAATTTGTGGCGCTAACGACGCGATCCAATCAAAAATCGATAATAAGAATTTAAATTGATTTGGGTGGTCACTGGTCTGACATTTGCACAACATGCCATATGGCATCCCCCATTTCTCCTTGTCATACGTTGTATGACCCGCCGCGCACGAAGTGCGCGGCTCCCCCTGTAGCGTCGAAGACGCTATAGTGTCGAAGACGCTATAGTGAAGCGACCGTGGGGGTCACCGCGTGATACAAATTTCTCCAACGTTATTAATTCTACCTCAGAGGATCTAAACAGTATTTTGAATACGACAGCAAGGTCTAGACGTCTCGGAAGGAAAGAACCGAGGTACAAACGGAGAGTGTCCCGAAAATTATCCCATCAACTCAGTGTCGACAATGACATTTTGGTAAGTGGATAGGAAAGGTAAGGAAAGTAAAAATGTATGATGTAGGTTTATTACATATTATTATATAATAGCTTATAGCTGTATATTTAATTATTTTAAATAACCTACGATTACAGAATACGTGCACAAAATGGTCACATTCACAAGTTATAGTGTTATAACTTTATTATATAAGCTAAGCAGGTTTGACTAGGTTGTTGTCCATTGTTAGTGGAATTCGGAGAAATTTAGTGTTTGGTGTTTAGACAAGCAACATCCGTCAAATAAAACTAGGTTGGCGCAGAATTTGTTGTTTCCGAATTTCATAAATTTGGTACCAAATTTTGCCTCAAATGTTTAAGTGTGCATTATACAAATGACAAATTCATCGTGGCCGTGATGCATGATTGGGTCGAGCTGTACGTGCAACGTTGAACGTGCAGTGTGCGTCTACTCAGTGTGCCTCTATACTCAGTGTGCCTCTACTCAGTGTGCCTTTACTCAGTGTGCCTCTACTCAGTGTGCCTCTACTCAGTGTGACTCTACTCAGTGTGCCTCTACTCAGTGTGCCTCTACTCAGTGTGCCTCTATACTCAGTGTGCCTTTACTCAGTGTGCCTCTATACTCAGTGTGCCTTTACTCAGTGTGCCTCTACTCAGTGTGCCTTTACTCAGTGTGCCTCTACTCAGTGTGCCTCTATACTCAGTGTGCCTTTACTCAGTGTGCCTCTACTCAGTGTGCCTTTACTCAGTGTGCCTCTACTCAGTGTGCCTTTACTCAGTGTGCCTTTACTCAGTGTGCCTCTACTCAGTGTGCCTTTACTCAGTGTGCCTTTACTCAGTGTGCCTCTACTCAGCCATTGCGCATTACCATTTACCTGCAACCTGGAGACCCCTTGACCATTGTTAATGATCTGGCCCAGCGCACGCGCTACTTCGTAGCACTTGCCATTTCGAGAAGAAAGCGGCGCGCGCTACTTCGAAGAAATTTAGACGAGTAACATCCGTCAAGGAGACCCCTTACTGGGCGGCGATCAGCCTGTTATTCCGCCGAATCTTTATGAACATAATAGCCTGGAGTCCCCATACCAGGTAAAGTGATCCCTTATACATTGTAGCGCGACGCACTACAACATACTATAAGGCCGAGCCGCGCATCAAATAATGTTACCTGCATGGGGACCACAGGCTATTATGTTCATAAACAAATAGAGCTGATTCGCGGCGGAATGACAGACTGAGCGCCGTCCAGTAACAAACACAAAACAATGCTTTACGCAGCCACACTTCTCGCAACCTTTGTTAGATCGGCAAAATGCAAATGCACCACTTGCACCGGGCCACGCACTTTTGAAAAATGTTTTCTTTTTGGAAAGTGTGTATTTTCAATTTTTTTCCAATGTATCAAATCTTATTGTTTGTACAATGTATACGTACCTCTTTTCACATACAACTAGTCTGTCACGTGACCAAAACAGTTTTGTTGCCCAGAACTGTCTTGACATACGTTGCATGCCACTTTTCGCGCGCGAAGCGCGCGCCGCCGAATACGCCGGGATACGAAACATGTATCAAGAACTGTCCAGGGAAGAATTAAATTACTTTATACCCGCAGGGCGTTTTCATAAGATTTTTTTCAAAATTGGAGCAAGCGATTTAGTGGGAGATATACTGTCCACAAGAGGCTAAACTTAAAATCTTCTGTCCAGGTAGCAGGAGAAGATTTGCACGATCGGGTCAAAAAGGACAAGAGTTTGGTAAAAACTTGCTCTTATCTCGGAAAAACATACGTTTCCTCCTTCAAAGGAGAAGAATTACTGCACTGGATGGTATCTCATTGCTGGGCTGCGCACGCCCTAGAGGCTGTTTCTATTTGTCAGCTGCTGCTCACTCATAATGTTATCTGCAATAGTAAGCATGTCTTCAGTTTTGACATTTGACACGATTTACAGACAACAGATAAGTAAATTTAATCATTACTAATTGTATTATCAGTAACTCCTAAGTTGACAAAATTGCTATTAATAAGGGCTCATATTATGGTGCACTAAAATGACAGCTCGACTGTTGTTTAATGAATAATTTAATGAACCCTCAGTATCAGACTCTAGAAATCTGATGACATTTAAGAAGTTTGCAATTTACCGGTTTCGGAATGACCAGGACGACATACCTCTGGAACCCAACTCAGACAGTATGGATGTTAGTTTAGACATGTTGTACCGCAGGTAGCACAACATTTTATATATTTATTTTATACATTTTATATATTTATACTTTTACATGTCACAACTCTGACACTTCTATTTTCATGAACTTATTTTACGAGCTGAACCACCAATTATAATAGTCTTACTGGGCGGCGCTCAGCCTGTCATTCCACTGAAATCCGAATCTCTATTCGGTATGTTTCGATATGTTTATGAACATAATAGCCTGGGGTCCCCAGATAATAATAGTCCTCCTTTTTATCCTTGTATCTACAAGTACAACGTTGTGAAGCTGTCACCCACAAATCCCCAACTGTCGAATTGGTCAGTTAGCAAATAATATAATAGTGTACTAGCTAGTGACTAGCAGCTACTAAGGAACCTCCCACGTGTCAGGTTGTGGAGCGACTGGGTGATCAGATCACGTGTTATAGGGTGGTGGCTGTACACTAACACTCTGACGGGGGACGAGTTCCTCTCCTGGCTCACTTCTACTCAGATCTGCGCTAACACTGAGGAGGCGAGACACTTTGCTAACCAGCTTCTCCTCGTCAACTTCCTTATCAGAAGTAATGCTCCACAATCAAAACACTCATAGTCTTAATTCATCCCCATTTGTTCTTATCAAATTTGATCTTTTTCTATCAATTTCATTTGATTTTTGATCAACGTGCCTCCAATGCATCTAATTGCAACTCGAAATCTGTTATCAATAAGTTAAACTATCTTCTTCAGTACACCCAGAACGAAATAAAGAAGACGTTCAGCCGGAAGAGTTGACGGATGATGATAGTTGTACAATCTATCAGATTAATGTTTGCTGCAATCAATCGGTAGGTTTCTGGACCATACCTGAAATCAAATCACACTTGGATCTTAACATACCAGACAATTTAAAAGTTGTAACTCGATGTTTGCAAGTTGTCGTTTCAATAACAAGTTTCAAGAACCATAATACCCTGATAGTGATGTTTGCAGGTAGACACAGCGACCAAGGTGTTCCACACCCTAGCACACGCAGTCAGACTGTGTAGTGTTCACTCAGAAGACTGCATTTACTACGGTAAATCTGATGTCAAGGAAGACGTTCTTCTAGAACAGTTCGAGGTAAGGCTCCCATGATCACTGATTGGCTAACTCTTCAGTTATACTCTTCTAATTTGTAGTTGAATAAACATTAATTGCATGATCTGATAGTGATGACGAACAACTATAATATAGTTATTATAGTAACTATAGTAACTATAGTAACTATAGTAACTATAGTAACTATAGTAACTATAGTAACTATAGTAACTATAGTAACTATAGTAACTATAGTAACTATAGTAACTATAGTAACTATAGTAACTATAGTAACTATAGTAACTATAGTTACTATAGTAACTATATTGGTAACCCCCCTCAGCTTGAGGAATCTAGTCCACCTCCTAGTTTGGAGAGCAGTGATAATACTGATACGAGTCTGTCTGCCTCGGAAGAAGCAAAGAGGTTCCTGCAATCTGTTTGCCGAGCTTACTATCCCAAGTTCACCTCAGCAATTGAGGATACCTATTTCTCTTACGAGGTAAAATCAACTTACAGCTGCTTGTGTGTTAATAATCAATATATTCTACGAGTATAACTTCGCTCCAGACAGAAAATTTCTCTAACTTAATTGTGTTCTAGATTAATTCAGATTCCTGTGACCACGAGGATTTTAGTATCCCAGACGAGATGTTCCACTCTTATCAACTATCTACATTTGACCAAGAAGACAGTATAGTAATAGAGTTGGAGGATGGTGTAAATCTGCAGGATCTAGATGGAGATGGTAGGAGCATTCTCCGCATGGTGGAGGAGGATTCCTCTCTTGAAGTAAAAGGTAAATTCATAAATTACAATTCCAATCTACCTGAACATTTCCATTGTATTTGACTTTTCAAGAAGGTTTAAATCTTATAAAGTTTTAAATCTTATAAACTGTTTTATTTGGATTGAAAGTAACCCTTAGAAATAACCCTATTATTACAGAGCGCTCGAGTACTTTAGATCTGCTTCCGACTCCCAGAGACTCTAGCCTCATGTTTCAAACTGCCAGACTTGAGATTAATTATGAAGATATTCCCTCACTCTGATATTGGATATAGTTCACGTCCCGGCTTGATGCACATTAAATAGTTTCAGAACTGTAAATGAAGAGACTTATTGAATAATAAGGATCGAGGCGCTGGAAAAAGTGTTAAGATATTATCATAGACTAATATTACTGTCGTGGTACGTACTACAAGATGAACTATCGGTTGTGATCGGGGTAAAGAAGTCTGATTCGCGGTAATGATATGTTTTTTGTAAAAGTTGAGGTATTATAAGTTAATCGTGGTTAATATTGGCATTGGCAAGACGACAAAATCAAAATAATATGTTTATTATTTACTTTACGTTTTTAATTTCGATTGGATAATCGCGTGGAATGAAATTATTATTTGATGATAGGCGTTATCAGAATTTAAACAATGTCATAACCAAAGAGTGAGATTTTTAAATAAAATTAAATAAAAATAAATTTAAATAAATTGGTAAATCACAATGGAATTTTATTTATTCACACGGTTCCGTTAGCATTTCCAAATTTATACATTATCGATAATAATCACGAATCAAAACAACCTAAAATTACGCTTATTTAATTTGGAAACAAAATAAAAACGGTCACATAAACACCAGTAACTTCATTTTTGTGATTTATTTTAAATCAAATGAAAAGTAAATAAATAGATAAAAGAATTATTTTATATGACAACTAATCTCTGAAAACTCCCAATAAAAGTATTAAAAAACACATATAAATTAAAAATTGGTCAAATGTTACTCGTCAGTTCTCCATTCCAATTGCAATCTCTATTGATTACAGGTCAGTCATGTGTCGGTTGGTGTCATTAATTATAATATAGTTTAGAATCTTAATTTTGGAAATATTTGTCCCTTGATTCAAGAGAAAAAAGTGTTACATGGTTACATGGTTAAGTTTTAGCATTTTTCTAATGAGATGACGTTTAGCAGACCATACGTCTCCACAAATTTCTGTCTCAAACATGGCTTGGTGCTGAAAATGGTTAAATTTTAGGTTGTATTTGTAATTATTGTGGTTATATTTCAATGTTTACGGTACCTTATCGGACGTTATTTGACCGGACATTAAAATGAACGCTCGAAGGCATTCATTTATGATTTAATGTATTTAATTTAACTACCTTGTCGGACTTTATTTGAATGGACATTAAAATGAACGCTAGGGTCCAATTAATGCGCGTTCAAATAAAGTCAGATAAGGTATATAGTATATACAGGAAACCAAAATAATATAATTATAAACATACTAAAACCCGTTCATGAGGGGAAGATTAGGGAAATTTCAAGTTTTGTTCTCGTTTTCTCTTTTGAATGACTCACTCAAAACGTTAAATTTAAACATAAAAGTTAAAATTAAAGAATTCCATTTCACTTATTTAAACCAGCAAAAGGTATATCTCACCAGATGTATTGGAATTTGCGTTGGTTGAAAACCCTGTAAGCGGTGGTAACCTTGTCTGAGTTCCTGCTGTGCTCAGCTGCTCTCCTGTTCGCATTGAACAGAGCATGACTCACAAAGTATACTGCCATCTTGATCTCTTCCAGTAAGTATCCACTATGTGGAGTTAGCAGTCAGTTAGGAAACAAGATGCTAGAGAGCTGTTCTTTCTATTTAACAATATATATATATATTATATATATATTTATATGAATACACGAATCAAGTTATCTCAACGCTTTGTGAGATATGATTGACGAAGTACGTGAAAACTTACGAGTAAGTGGTTTGTTTGCTTGACCAAGCTTCCGCTTCTGAGTATCCCATTATTCTTCTGGCTAAGAAACAGATTGCTGCAGCCAACATACTTTGAGGTCCCGAACAGTGACCCTGATACCTGGAGTTACTATGGTTACTATGGTTACTATGGTTACTATGGTTACTATGGTTACTATGGTTACTATGGTTACTATGGTTACTATGGTTACTATGGTTACTATGGTTACAGTGACTCTGATACCTGGAGTTACTATGGTTACTCCAGATGTGTCTGGTTAGTAATAGTGAAATAGTCGTACTGTCCAGTAAAAAACCTGACGACCAAGGTGGAGAGATATTTGGAGATGTTGTGTGTCTCCATGTTAGTGCCGCTAATACTGTTGTACCTTCTTACAAACAGCATCAAGTGAGGCGTTACCATCTGGGGTGGTTACTATGGTTACTATGGTTACTATGGTTACTATGGTTACTATGGTTACTATGGTTACCATGATTACCATGGTAACTATGGTTACATAATACATAGTCATCATTTACACTTTTATCCAAATTGGACAAAAAATGGTTGAGTTACATTTCAAAGTTAAACTGGGAAGTCTGCGAGAATTCTAGATAGTCAATCTGTTAAATTATTTGATAAACGTCGACCAATTTGGTGGGCTCTAATAAATTAAATCGGTACTTTTGAGATTTAGCATATCCTTAATCATTAAAGGTGATGGATAGCACTTACTTCATAGTTAAGAGCTACCAGTATCTTCTTCTCGTAGGATTTAATGGCAGCAACTGAGGTTCCTGGTGCTATCTCTACGATATCGTCTATTGGGATCGCTTGTACTTCCTCCATCTGCAGAGGTTTACTCAGTTGAGGAATTGATCTGTTATTTAGAATATCAGTTTCATTCTGATATTTGATCGGTTAGACAAAGTAAAATGAAACCTTGGCAGCAAGAAAGAGACAGGTTCCAGTGAGAGGTTGTATATCATCCAGAGAATATTCCAGAGTCCTGAGAGCCTTGTCTAGGTATAAAACAGCGGTGAAGAAGGTGTCTGTCGCTAGTTTCCAAGTGAAACACACCTCAGTTAACCAATCCACACACCCTACCCTCAACGTGGCGATGTCTTGTAACCTGGGGAATGGAATTGTTAACCAGTTCACTCAACCTACTCTCAATTAGCAATGCTACTATCTGGTAATATATCATTCTTGTCAATGTTATTTTTAATTACACTAAACCAGGTGTTTTATGACGGCCAGAGTCCAGAGCAGTGCTCTAACATGTTTCCCCAATCATATAGCAAAGTCAGTTTCTTACCTTGCTTACTTGTGCCTGCCATATTACCAGTTCGAGCATTTTCCGAGCCTAAACATTCTTCGTTGCCATAGAGTTTATTCAAGTTCCCTTCTTGAATGATTATTTGATGAAAGTTTCAAATCAAATAGAATACGGTTTCCAAGTTTAAACTTTGTACCATAAATTACCTTGCAGCCATAACCCACTTATGTTCTCTAATCGCAGACTCGTTTTTAAAGATCTCTTTACAGTACTCTCCACATACGTCCGGATCATCATTGTCGTCAATATCCGGCTCGGTCTGTTCCCAGTCCATAGCTTCAGTCTCCTCTTTGGCCGTAACACGTGGTTTTGCTATGCCACTAATGTCACGTGGTTTTGCTAGGTCAGTGCGCGGCTTTCTATCCACCAAACCTTTCATTTCGTGCCGCGTATTTTGGTGGGTTGTGCACTGGAAGGAGACGTTATTGTGCGGGGGGGGGGGGGGGACGTTATCGTGCCGGGGGGGGGGGGGGGGGGGGGGGGGGGGTTATTAAGATGTAATCATAGTCATAATGTTAACATTTTCTTTATTAACTGTTTACTGTTTGCTGTATATTGTATAACTCTTAATTTTACCTCGCCGAAAACTGTTTGTAGCCGGTCAGCCATATTTTTACTGTAAAAGTTTTGATAATACAGTCTCTTTTATGTTAAGTTCTCTCTTCTCCAATAAGGTCGTTGGAAAAGGGGCGATATCTAAAGTAAGAGCCGGTATCAATATAAATGTGGCAGAGAAAAACTGTTATGGGCAACCAATAAAATGTTAAAACAAACTGTAATGGACGGCTAAAAACTGATCTTTAGATGGTTTTATAAGATAAAGCGTTATCAATATCTTTTAGCGTAATCGCACATTTCCCAGTGTAGGTATGTACGTGGGCTTAAACAGAGATCACTTAAGTTTATATCGATACCTACTTAATCCAGATAAGACTATGTGCCGTTGCTGCAATATGTAATGTTAGTGAATATCTAGTTAATATCTTGTTAAACTAAAAAAAACTAAATATAAAGCCAGGAAAGAGTCTATGACAGCCAGACTAAGAGAGTTTTGTGAACGTAGTAAATATATAATTATACTTACAGGGGGGGGGGGGGGGGGGGGGGGGTTATAAAAAAAAAAGAAAAGATGAATTGTGGTTGCTAAAATGACGAATACATTGATATTATAAAAGTGTTTTCAGTATATCTCGGTTCAGTGAACCTCCACTTGAGCCGTTTGTTGGCAGTCCTCAGCCACTCAACAATCCCATCACATCCTTTGAAGTGGAACAAGCTGCCAAAAAGCTAAGAAATGGTAAGGCTGTTGGTCCTGACGGTATTCCAAACGAATTCCTTAAACACTCCCCACCTATTTTCTATTCTACATTTGCACAGCTGACCAATCAATCCTTTGAACGTCATGAAGTATGAACATGTACCTTCATTCACTGAAGGATTCCTTACCCGGGGTAATACCCCACTTCAAAAACCTGGTAAGGCACGTGGACCTTTAAAAAGTCTGCGCCCTCTTTGTTTTTTAAACGGCACCAGGAAGATATTGTCCATGATAGTCCTTAGACGCACTCAAAGACAAGTTTCTCAGTACACAGGACCTTGGCAAAATGCCTACAAGCCTGGCCATAGCTGTGCAAATATTGTTTGGACACAACGGATCCTAGTTTCAGTTGTGAAGGAAAAACGCTGGTCTCTACACAAAATGGGTATTGATATGTCATCTGCATTCGACACCATTAAGAGATCAGTTTTGCTAGAACTTCTTGCTGATGCTGGTTGTAGTGAAGACGACATCCGACTGGTAAGGTACCTACTCTCATGTACCAAACTGAAGATTAAAGTGAGGTCTACCATATCAGGGGAGATCATTGTCACGATAGGTGCGTTCCAAGGTGATAGTTTGTCTGGAAACCTTTTCACCCTTTATTTGGCTGGCGCACTTTACCACCTTCGTGCCTTTATGTCTTATCTAAGACCCAACCCTCCGTTTGCTGAAAACCTGCTACCTCTTGAGTGGGAGTACGCAGATGACGCAGACTTCACAGATGAGGATAAAAAGAATTTGGAGTCCATGTTACCAATATGCAATATATTGGAGGAGTGGAATCTTTTTGTCAACGAATCAAAAACAGAGTTCACACATATCTATCTGGCCGAGAAGAACGAAGTTGATGACAAAGGAGAGCCACTTCGAGGAAGAGAGCCCTGGAGATCATCTATCTCACTTGGTTCCAAATTGTGCAGCAACGAGGACTGAGTAAACTGGATATTTGCCACAAAAAGCATCTGAGGCAAATCATCAGAATGACTTACCCTAATATGATAAAAAACGACACCCTTTACAAGAGATGTGAAGTGGTTCCACTCAGTGAGCGTGTTGCATGTGCACGATGGAGGATGCTCGGACATGTCCTTCGCAGTGATAACAACTCACCTGCACAGCTTGCATTGCACTTCGCAGTAGAGAGTCAGAGTACTAAAAAGGGTAGAGTAGGCAGACACCAGTCGAACTTGCTTAGGACTATTAAATTTGATTTAGGTAGTAGGAACATTCCATTTGTAAATACAGACGATTTGTACAATTTAAGACTTTTAGCCTCTGATAGAGCGGGATGGAAGAAATTGTTATAGCTTGTGTATCAGTATTTCTTTTTTTCTGGCTACTTATCAGATCTTTAAGATGTTCATTTATGTTCTATTTTTGATTTGAATAAAGTTGTATAATAAATAATGTTGTTAACGGGTGATACTCGTAAAATATTTGTTTCGACGAGTCCAACTCGGCGCGCGTCCTGGTAGGTTATAAAACTACTAATGTTGTTGGTGTTTTTTTTCTTCAGAACACACCTCTATGAATATGAAATTGGACTGGTACAGGTAAGGGGTTTGAAGCGCTGTCCTCGCGCTAGACCCATGTTTCTCTACCGATCATGTTACAGCCTACCGCCCACTCAAAAACAATCACTCCAAGTTCATTTTCGAAAGAAACCCGAGTATCGCAAATCCACCAAAAGAGGACTTTCTTATTCACAACGGTTTCAAGAAACGAATTCCTCCGCAATCAACACAACCCATCGGGAGTAAAATATTCACATCCTGTATCAACACTTCTCGGAAATTATAATTTTATCGTGACCTAAAATCCAAATTTAACAAAGAATATTTCCTAGACAGTGTCATTAAATATGCAGACCGTGCGAATATCACAACACTACGGATCAGTGCACATCGACTCGAAATTGAACTTGGCCTATATAATCAAACTCCTCGCGATGAGCGAATATGCTCCTGGTGCAATATAGTCTTAGGTTCTGGTATCATTGAGAGTGAAGACCACTTCCTTAACCATTGTGATCTTAACGCTGCATCGAGGCGAAAAGTCCTAGACAAGATCCAGTCAATCATATCAAATCCAAACACACCATCTGCGACATTTTATCTTGTTCACACTGTCATCCCTGGAGCAAACGTCCTCAAACTCATCAGCAACAACAGTGAAATCATTGAATTAATCACGAACGAAAGTCAAGTCCACCTCACGAGAGTCGTTGCTAGATTTGCCACTACGTGTTTTAACAACCGCAAGAAATTCGTCGACTCTCTGGCCAGTACTGAGTACATGAACATTGAACATCACTGTACCAGCGCTTTTTTTCTTTTTGCGCAACAACGAGTGCAAAGTGGCCTGGCTCAAGCATTACAGCATTACCAAAATATTTATTTTTCACTTTAGTTTAAGTTATATTAATATAATAAATTTAAATCTTATGATATTGTTATTATCTTAACAGTTACTACTGTAACTTAAGATTTTAAATTTGTATTCCTTGTATTCCTTTGTATTCCTTCTACATTCTAAGTCTACAGCTCCGATGACATGATGAATCTCAGCAATTGCTATTGTTTCGATCTCCATACCGCCAAGGTGCTACCGAAAAAGTTAAACGAAATTGATTGAACGACCATGTCAGGACTCCCGTGGTCTTTTTTCATGCACAAATTTAAAGAATTAGAACACGTGACATGTTAAGTTGGTCACGTGACCCTGATGTAATGCTGCTAGTGGCCGAGCTGGCCCCCTCATCTCAAGTAATCTGATTGTCAACGTTAAGATAAACATTTCATCGGCCTACTGGACGCTCATACACTTAGTTCATACCCTCGTTCTTTGCCAAAGACTGCCAATGCTAAATTGCAGTTGTGGTATAAAATAGGAGACCCACTCAGCACCAAGCAGTCAAAGCCAATAATTTTTACCTTCGCGTTGATTGTGCAGTGTTTCCTACTTGAGTCGACTACAATGAAGTTTTGCGAATTTTCTTATCAGAGTGCTCGATATGCCAGCGAACTTTGCGCCCGGAGAAATCTCCGCTCCAAAGATAGTCCGACTAAGTGGTGGAATTTTAAGGTTATATTAACAAATTCAGTATAAACAGATTCAGAACGGAATTAAGTAAAGATGATCATGATTCCACTTCCATGACAAAGTGACCAAACAAGTTTTTATATCGTAAATTCTTGCGGTTTTACCCAGCTTCCTATAAAATAGAAAGATTAAGGTTGTAACAGTTCATAGGTTGTTGGGGAGGGGGGGGGGGGGGGGGGTTGTACGCTCATACCCTCATCTTCAGGGACTACACAGAATGGGCAAAATCTTATGGCCGCCCGCAATTATAACGAATAGAGTATACTCCCGTGGTTGTTAAAGTTAGCCTCAATTTCAGGATACTGAAAGCAAGAAAGCCATTAAAGATGCCCTATCCGGGAGCGAAGACAGGATGTTTGATAAAATCAGGGTTCCTGAGCTACCAAGGATACGTAAAGAGGTTTGTACTCAAAATTCAACTAAAATAAATTTCACACATTAGAAAAAAATAATGACTTTATCTTACTATATCAACTGAAACTTTTTTGACTGGGTCAAATGCTTTAATGGCCTCCAAATCAGCATGAAAAAATAAAAAATAAGCCAATGAATAGGAGTTTTAGAGCCCAAAATTTGGACCCCAGTTGGTGTCAAAAACGCGAATTAAATAGGTAATAATTATTTCAGTCTCTTGAGTCTTGACACCATTTTATGGTTATACAGGTTCCTGCTAGTAAACTTAAAGGGGTGACGATGTCGTAAGAAAACCATTAAACATAATCTAAGCCACCATTTAAACAACTATCTTAAGGCCCTAAGGTCTGAAATTTCTATATCTTTTATGAGAGCATGCGTCATAAACTGGACCACTTAGGGACCGTTCACATACTCTTATTGCTCGAGTTCAGGCCCAAAACTTCACGAAAAAAAGGGTTCCGGAAACAGAAAACCCCCTTCTGGACAATCCTTGAACCTGACAAGACATTCGAACACTAACCTTCTAAACGACTACCGATTAGTCTAAATTCAAATTAAATTTTTTACAACCACCCAGTGTTGATATGAGTATAGTAGTAGTCCCACATTTAGTGAATATTAAATATGGCAGGTAGAGCGAGTGAGGAGAACAGTGAAGAGAGTCCACACTTTTACAAGCACTAAAGAACTTCGTGCCAAGTACGATTTGAAGGTTATCAAACTGCCATCCCTGCGCTGAACACAATACTCGTATTAAATGTGTCACATACTTTTGAAAATGTTTTCTTTAACATGGCACCACCGGTTGAACTTTTTTATATTATAAGAGTTTCAGTATAATTTATTCACATTCACGAGTATTGTTCAGAACAGGAGAATGTAAATGATTGTATAGCTGGTAGCTTATAAAAGAAACTAACGAGTTTATACCCCGGGTTACAAAGACTATTCTTGCTTTTATAGTTATAGTGTATACTCATGACAAACATTGTGGACATTTTAAATTTCACAAATGTTACCGTTGTTACTCCTCAGATGTTTTGCGTTTACCGTTTTTGTTGTTGTATTTATTGATTGTGTTAAAAGTAAACATTTCTTTGTTTTTGGTAATGAAACTAATTTTAAATAGGTTATACTAACTTAACAGACTTGTTTAGTTAGATATGTCTGATAATCAACATATAAACATTTAAAAAAAACCATTAATCCTTGGATATCAACATCCAAAAACTTGAAATTTTCATCTTACGGAGTACCTAGAATTCAAAATATGTAGGATTTGTTCAAAATATGAAATATAAGTGTTATATTGTAAATGTATAACATTGGTCGTTGAAAGATAAGTCTACAACGACATTACCACCTCCACCAAACAACTAGTTAAAACGCAGGGTCGACAATTATCAACATCCATCAATCAACACTGGACAGTAAATGGTAAAGCCACCACTACTACTACAGTAGTGTCAGCTGTGAAACCGTCACGTACCGAGAGAATCGTACCGATAGAAATCAGAAATATCAGTGTTAGTTCATAGCAAAAAAAACCAATAAAACCCATCGCCCAACCAGTGACCAGAGGCATCATATATAATCGTACTTTAAATCGTTTCCCGCACATATTCGAACTATTAGTTCAACTAACAGTCGTTTTCCGCACATTTCCGCACAATTTGGAGCTCCCCATATAATTTTACAATTTTAGGTATAAAAAACCAACAATCTATCGAAAATTTGGGACGAGTTCTGGGTCGTCTTCAGTTAAAAATGATTAGAGCAACAAAGAGATCCTTGAAATACCATTTCTTGTAACCAAGTTACTGTAGCCACTGTAATTGATCTGCCTACTGTCACTGATTATTCGACTGCTTTCACACTAATTTATTGCTATTATCATGGATCGTTTTTGAAAACTTCCTGCACCATCCGATTCTAGCAGTAGTTTGCTAAACAAGAAGGTATTTTGGCTGCATTTAGGACTCAGGAATTTAGTTCTTCCCTTTATAAAAGTCTATGAAAGTGGAAAAAAACCATTGTGTAAACCGTGCAATTACTCATTCGTTTTCATAGAAAGAATTATTAAATAACCATTACGTAGTAATGTTTGAGTAGCTTTCCAACACAAAAAGATCTAACTGAAAAAAATTCGCCGCACTTTTGCCGCACATTTCGCAAATATTCGCTGCACTCGAGCCGCTCTATTCGCCAAATTTCCTGCACATTAAGCAAATTTAGGCAAGTACGGGATCACACTTTTCACAAAATTTGGCCGCACTTATATGTAATGTTGCCTTTACGCAGCTAAGCAACCACTCACTCAACCACTCACTCAACCACTCACTCAACCACTCACTTAACCACTCACTCAACCACTCACTCAACCACTCACTCAACCACTCACTCAACCACTCACTCAACCACACACTCAACCACTCACTCAACCACTCACTCAACCATTCACTCGACCATTCACTCAACCACTCACTCAACCACTCACTCAACCACTTACTAAACCAATCACTCAACCACTCACTCAACCACTCACTCAACCACTCACTCAACCACTCACTCAACCACTCTCTCAACCACTCACTCAACCACTCACTCAACCACTCACTCAACCACTCACTCAACCACTCACTCAACCACTCACTCAACCACTCACTCAACCACTCACTCAACCACTCACTGATAAGACTATTTGACTACGTCAGATTTGCGCCGTTGCTTGGGGGGTGAGGAGGTGGTCCCAGTCTTTCTCACGTGAACACATTTGTTAGTGAAGGTTACAAGTCCCCTCAGAGTGTCCTCCCCGGACGTCATGTTGCTGCCTCGTCTGAAGAGAAGTGCTAAGATTAACATAAAATATAATATAGCATAATCCCGGTGCAGAAAAATCAGGGCGCACTAAATGGGGGTTTTACTGTATGTGTTTGTAGCCGAAGCCTGTTAAATGGGGGTTTTACTGGATATGGTTGTAGCTGAAGCCTGTTAAATGGGGGTTTTACTGGATGTGGTTGTAGCTGAAGCCTGTTAAATGGGGGTTTTACTGGATGTGCTTGTAGCTGAAGCCTGTTAAATGGGGGTTTTACTGTATGTGGCCGTAGCTAAAGCCTGTTTGAATCTGTAACAAAAACTTTCGTTCTGTAAGTTCCAAATTCCGAAAAAAGGTGCAAAATTTGTTCTACCGCTGACAGGTATATTGTGGCACAGTAAAACAGGCAAATTCTGCAGAAAACCTGCATGAAAATATACTGTAACAGCGAGGAAAAATGAAATTATCCTATCCTGATGTAGTGATATACGTCCTGTTGTCCAAACACCGCACCTCACCTGTGCTGAAAAATCGCTAAACGTGCCGGCCTTTTCTAACAAGTAACTGTTAGCTGAACAAACGCGGAACAGTATGTCGGACTGCAAATATTTCCGTTTCTTCAAATTCAAACCTCCTCCTCCGTTTAGTTGTGGCAATGTTTTCAAATTTCTACCGTTTACCTGTAGCAACGTTTTCAAACTTTAAATTTGTCGGCTAGTAAGTGGAATCAGATCAATTAGGTCTCATCTCACTTGAATTATTATCTCGGTTTAATTAGAGTTAATAACTACTAGTAGAGTTAGAGTTAGGGTAAGAATTAGAGTTAAGATTAGGGTTAGAGTTAAGGTTAGAGTTAAGGTTAGAGTTAAGGTTAGAGTTGGGATTTGATTTAGAGTAAGGGTTACAGTTAGGATTAGAGATAGAATTATAGTTAGAGTTAGAGTTAGCGTTAAGATTAGGGTTAGATTTAGGGCTTAGGTTAGGGTAAGGTAAGGGTAACTCAAGAGTAACTCAAGGGTAAGTGTTAGAGTTAGGGTTAGAGTTAAGGTCCGGTAGGGATTCTGTCCGCAGCCAATAGATGTGTGCTTTTAGCCGTCACACACATTAGACCAGTAGCGATCAAGGAACGATAAAAGTACTGTAGATATGGACCTGGGGATCATAATCTTGGTGGTCCGAAAAGTCCCCCAAAGTATAAACTATGAAATTAAAGCTATTTTAGAAAGCTACCTGATTCTCTCCATAGGTTTGACTTGAAGAGAAACGCCAGGTTTTATCTTATTTTTAGTAGCTTTAGATAAAACAGAAGCTGCAATTTTAAAGTTCAACTTGCAGTCCGTCAGCTCGTTGTCATGGTCACACACCAGGTTAACAGCCCCGTGTTTCTGAACCAATCTCCGGCTGAAATAGTGAAATAGTCTGATGTAAAACTATATAGTAAAGGAACACTCAAACAGGCCGCTTTCAACGCAAGCAGCGTTGGAATGGCGGGTGAAGGTGCGGAGCCGGTCAACACCTGGGTTGGAACGCTGCTGTGCAGGCTCACACTTCACCACTTCACTCAATTACTGCTCACACTTCACCACTTCACTCAATTTAACTACCTCCGTACTTTGCACTTTGTGGTGCAATTTTCACAATCACCAATTTTATTTGCATTTGAGAGGAGGTGCAGGTCATGAGAAGTTGTAGGTTGTTTTGTACCTTGGTGTAGTAGAGTGTAGTGTGGTGTCTGGTGATACCGTCCGTACCAAGTCCGCCGCGTTTGCAACCAAGCTCTCTCTAAAATATAACTGCAATTAAAGCAGAAGTACAAAAATTTGGAAATATTGTTTCCCAATTTCTGTTAAGTCTGACTACTATATATATATATATATACCCTCTTTAGGTTAGGCTCCTAGTGATCCTCAGTGGTTACCTAATGTTAGGGTATATCTCGAAAGCGTTATCTAGAAGCGGCGTATAGGTCACGTGCTCAGCCGTCTCCTCTATCTTCACTCCCAGTAACGTTTGGCGGCACGCGGCCGGGCTGATGTCGTTGAAAAACTTGTTCTGTCGTCCTGAGGTGTATCAAATGTTTTATATTTTTGGAGAGCAAATGAAAATTAGCAAATTTAAATACTTGTAATATCCTGCTAGTACTTGTAAATCTTACTATTTACTATACCTTCCCCGAAGACGTAAAAAATTTGATCGAAAAGTTTTTGGCTAGGTTGAATGCTTTTATGGTCTTTTGAACAGTATGAAGAAATATTAAATTAGGTCCCCGAATTTTTACCCCGGGCGGTGTCAAAGTCTGAAAATAAATGAATATAATTGTCTCTTGGCACGGGTTCCAAAGTAGTCAGGAGTAAGTACTGAGGAAGCATTAGAAGTACTGTGTAAGTATATAAACAGAGAATATCAGCTTGCTGTTAAACGAACCTATTGTGTTGGTTAGTACTCCATCTGCAGTGCACAGCTCCAGACGGTCTGAAAACAAAACCGGGATTATAACCTAATTCCAGCAGACAACTCCTAAAACCTGACATTCATGTCGCTTTTTCTTTTCCGTCTATTGAATTTGATCCTTATTCGTTCATTTATTTCTTCCTCCGCGATACAAGTTGAATGTTTGAACGGTCGTTCGTCTAATTCCCAACATCACGATTAATATACCTTATCGGACCTTATTTGGACGGACATTACATGAACGGACATAATTATGAACGGACATTAATATGAACGCTCGAAGGCATTCAAAACCATCAAAAATCCGAATTTTTTTCAATTTTTTGACGTTTTTTAAATTTCAGCAAATGATTTTTAAATCCATTTTTTCTACAGTAAGTAAGAAAAGCAGTCATTGAGCAGTAAAAATGTTAAAATATGTGTACATGATCAGTGTCTAATATCACATATCATCTTCATCAAATGGGTTTTCGTGCATGAAATAGTCCATGCTTAAAGCATCAGTGATTTCTAGCTATATGGAAACCTTTTTTATCAAACTACCCCGGTCCTGCATTTCAGTGTTAACTTTTACAAACCATTCGGCGTGAAGTGGTTTTATCTTAGACAACTTAAGATTAACCTTAACATCACGTGGAGCTTTCCTAGCACTGTTCCATTACCTCCCCTGAGTAATATGAACTATAATATAACAACGTCGGACAATGTCCTTGGAAACACGATTTTACCGTAATATCTAGAGGCTGGAACAAGTTTGTCATGTTGGCGGGGACTAGTTCATGAACTATATTGTTGAGTGCCATAATTTCGTTGACTTTTTTCCGCCAAGTAACCCTTGAAAACATCATATACTGGTAGAATTTTCTGTGCCTCCGGCAGACCAAGGAGAACCTTTCCATCGTTAACTTACGGCACAATCAAGTTCTCAAAGTTGTCATATTCTGGACAAAAAGTTCGAAATGGAAAAATTTTTGAAAAAATTTCAACGGACTTTAACTTGGACGGACATTAATTGAACGGACTTTATTTGAACGGACATTAAGATGAACGCTAGGGCCTCCAGCGTTCAAGTAATGTCCGTCCAAATAAGGTCCGATAAGGTAGTTCAACACCATTTATTAAATGGTTTAAATCATCGTTCTGCAATAATTGAACGATGTTTACTCGTTTCTGTTACATCAGGGATTTGCGAATTATTTGGTAGTTTGTTCTGGTAATGGCCCTTCCTTGAAACTTGTCCAGTGTCACTGTCATAGTGAGTCCTGGAGAGTTAAATGCAGCGTGTAAGGGTAAAGGTGCAACTAAGAGAGGTCCAGCAAATTCAAGGTTGCATTTCATATTAGAATAATGCGTGATTTAATCCTACTTTTAATTGTTGCCACTTACCTCCCTCCATTAAGTAACTCTAGTATATTTGGTCTGTACGGAGAGAGGAATAGAGCTGGGCATTAGTCGAAGTCCAATTAGCTACAATTCCTGTTATATTATGTATAACTTATATACAGTAGTGAGTAGTATATGTTTTTTCCGGTATGTGTCTTATCCAAGGTGGTGAGTAAAACCAGCTCCCAATATTTAAATTCATTTGGAACTAGCTCTAATTTACCAGATATCCAGGAGCGTTTTGAATCAAAACGACTTTTAAGTTTAATGTTCGCGTATTATTTAATTTCAACCTTATTTAATCTCTTTTTTAAATCCTCTAAAATGCACCATAGCCAAAATTTCTACCCAAGCCAAATTTTTTTCTGATGGCCTGGGTCCCTTGAGCTATCCCAATTTTTAAACCCCAGGGCGGAAGTTTTATAGACGGGAATGTTTTCAGATCAGAGTAAAACTTTCTGACACGTTCTCAGTAAATACCCCGTCCAAGGTTTAAGCGCACAGACTGTGGGCACTATGCGGCACAGTGCGCACTCACCCAGTTGACATAAAACGTTTCTCTTTATGCTTTGCAGTTGGACAATCTTTTGTAAAGCTAGACATTACGTTTAGAAAATGTGGCCGTTAGGAGTCTAGTGTTGTAGAGTCTACTCCGACTTTAGCTTCAGTCTAGACTAGTCAGGGTATAACACTATAACTGTTAAATATTTGCAGTTAACACACGCTTGTCATTGGAAACCCTATTTCACCTGGCACTGCGTGGGACATTACTGGGCGGCGCTCAGCCTGTCATTCCGCCGAATCTTTATTTTATGAACATAATAGCCTGGGGTCCCCAGGTAACGTGGGACCCTCACTTTTAAAACTACTAATTTACCAGCCGTCTCCCTTCATTATTACCAAGGCAGGTCTCTACAAGAGACACGCCATTTTAGGATGATCACTGCTTGAGTTAATGGATGGTGACCCAGCCTGTCAATAACACTAGATTACAGCTAATATCCTGTTTTGGGCACCTTTACCGGCGGTGCATTACAGGTACAATTAGCTGACAATAGTGTTAGTTACGTCAAGTAATAAGGCACAAAGAGTAGTTCCTAATAACTTGGGGCTGGCTATAAATGTCATCTGACAGTCATTTTACCATTCGTCCATCCAGTATCCTTGTTTATCTAAGGTTATCACTTAATCTATATAAATTATTTGCTAAGTTATATCATATCTCATGACTGTACTGATTGTCGTTGGTGTATTGCCCTATTGATAAATACCAGCTATGTGGCTACAATGGCCCGTAAATTTTGTAAAATACTCGGTAATCTACAGATTAATACTAAAGACTATATAATGGTGCTTTAGTAGTAGAGTGGGGTATAGAGTGGGGTGGGTAACACTGGTAGTAAAGTGGGGCACGTGATGCCCATATAAGGAACAAGTGCCAGTCCTACACGTGCGTACCGCGCCGCGCAGTAACACATACCATTATCATCTGGTTCTAGATCTAACAAACAGCACCACTGGGACCTCTAATATCTTATACTTATCGTACAGTAGATCTTTTGTAGGTGTTAGCTGCCAACTTTATCCATTACAGACTGCAGTGCCATAAGCACATTTATAATGACATTGAATGTTGATTGTACCGATAAGACTGTGCGACTATTTATTTACTTAACTTTGTATCATTTCCTTGTGGTAATTGTCATCGTATTATTATATTCATTGGAAGTTTACTTTTGGCACCAAATTAGTCGGCGTCCAGCGTTAGCATTATTATGTCAATAAATTAGCCAAATTAGTATGTATTCCTTTGAAAATACGATCAGAACTTTATCAAAACAACAACCTCTAGAGAAGAAATTTCCGGACTATTGATTTATATTACTTTATAATTCTTACCAGTATCTTTAAGTCCAGCTTTCCGTTTGATATAGAACAGTAGATGTTTTACATAGCATTGACTGTTCAGCAGAATCTTAGTGTCACCTGGGCAGTTTGTTTCTCATTTTAGTTAGTGAAAAATTAATATTTTAGGCCAAAATTTTCGTACGATAAATTAATTTTAACATATAATAATAGTTCTTTCATCACTGTGCTGGCAAGCACGACCGTCACCATTACACTCACTATACTATTAACCCCCTTATATATATAACTATTATGTCCCCTTTACTGTTTTTCAGGCATTAAGACTCACCGAAAGTAGTTCAGCAGGCATATTTTAAGTTCAAAACATTCTAATTCAATGTCAAAGATGACAGGAATAAGAAATAGTTATGTCGAGGTTTTCAAGAAATTTGCGCAATGGTACTCGCCAGCACTGTTATACGAAATTCGGTAAAAAACCCAAAATCGCCATATCCAGGTGCCTTAAAAACTTTGTAGGGCGTCTATACCTTGTAGGGCGTCTATTATACCTCGACCAAATCGACTGTTTGAAAAAATTTCAAGTTTCAGGTGTATCGGGAAATGGGTTTTCTGGAATACCTGTTTTACAACAGATTGTTGTGAAGTATATCTATCTATGTATATAGACGCTTTGGCAGTCAATTATAGCCTATATTCAAGTGTCCGTAGATTCAAAAGCTTTGAAGATACAGCCATTTCAGACCACAGGTCTTGAAAATAATTGTTTAGACTTTAGTTTACAGAAAAATTCAACGTCATCATTACCACTTGATGACGTCATCAAGTTAACCGTTTTTAAAACTTGATTTTTGACAAAGTAACAACTTTTAAAATCGATTTTAAACTATTAAGGAGTAATTTTATTCAAAATTTGAGGCATTGTTCGAGCCTTCTGAAAATCTACCGAAAAATTTTCTTAGTGTGCTCCTTCATAAAGGTATTCGCTATTGAAGTCAGTGCTTTAAAAAAAAAGTTTTATAAAAATACAAAAGTTGTGATTTAGTATTCTCTGATGTTGGGCCATCCCTTGTATTGGGTTGTGGAGCTCAGTTCTGCTTTCTATAGGACGTCTATATTGTGCATTAGGCTGGTCAAAAATAATTTAACATCATCATCACCACTTGATGACGTCATCAAATTAACAATTTTTGAAACTTGATTTTTTACAAAGCAACAACTTTTTAAATCAATTTAAAACCATTAAGAATTAAATAGCTGAATAACGTATCGACATTTCTACGTCATACTCATATTTTGAAATAGTATTAATTCAATCATAACGATCAATATTTACATATTAATACATTAAAAATTAATGGACATTAATTTCTTTTATCTCTTTTAATCTTTTATCTCCTGTACACGTCACGCTACTCGTTAATTTTCAATTTTGATGAGGCCTATTTGATAAGGGGCGATCGAATTCATTATCAGAGGCATCAAGTTAGTTAGATAATTGTTCAAGCATTCTGAACATCTACCGAGAAGTTTTCTTTGTTTGCTCCTTCATGAAGATATTTGTCATTGAAGTTAGTGCATTTTTAAAGAATTGTTATATAAAAACGTCAATTTTGCGATTTAGTATTCTCTGGTGTTGGGCCATACCTTGGGTTGTGGAGCTCAGTTCTGCTTCCTATAGGACTATATTGTGCATTAGGCTGGTTTCAAAGTTGAAAATCGAAAAGTTGCACACGTGGGGACACGCCCAAATTGATAGAAAACTGCTAAAATCACTGAAAATTGCTATTTTTACCATTTTCTGTCAACTTTGGAGTCCCGTTGTGATCTAAGTCCTTTTTGAAATCTTGTGAAACTTTGCATGCTTATCAAACAACGTCCGCTCAAAGTTTGCACGTGCACAAGGTGAGAATTTTGCTCATTCGTGATTTCGAACAAATTTTGCTTTCCTATGACAGTTAAATGGCATTATATATGAATTTAATGCCAACTTGGATGAGTAAAAAGTTATTAAAAAGCCTTATTCAGTCAGTTATTGACAGATATGCCTACTTTAACACAAGGAAATGTTTTCAAAGGTAAAATTTCGAAATCGTTGAAATTACCTCCTTTTTAGTAAAATTATGAGTTTAGATTTCGACTTTGTAAAGTACCCTGACATCATAATCAAGAAGAGATGATATTTGACAAAACCCATAATCATGGGTAGAGTGGATCGCTGCCAGTGTCTCTCTTTCCCAAACAAAAGGAAATCTTACTATACGGTATATCTTACTATATATAAAGCGAGACGATATATATATATTTATTTATCCATGCCATTTTACTGACACCACGGCATCAACTTTAACACGACTTTCCGCAAAGACCGTAAAAGATATACAACTGAAACTTTTTTGACTGGGTCAAATGCTTTAATGGCCTTCAAATCAGCATGAAAAAATAAAAAATTGGCCAAGAAATAGGAGTTTTAGAGCCCAAAATTTGGACCCCCAAGTGGTGTCAAAAACGCGAATTAAATAGGTAATAATTATTTTAGTCTCTTGAGTCTTGACACCACTTTAGGGTTAGACGGGTTCCTGCTAGTAATTATAAAGCGAGACGATATATATATATATTTCATGGCTGGACTTCTACACAATAAAAGAAAGCGGTTGTGATTAGATCTTCGAAAGTCTTTGCATCGTTTATTTACATCAATTCTGAGAAATTATATCATTAAAGTAATTACAACAAATACGAATCATATACAATTGAGAATAAATACAAACTAAAAGCAGTGGGAAAATCTGATGAACTGAAATTTAAAAAAGAAACTGAAAGCCGTTAAAAATGTACTCTTATCTTATCTCTTATCTAAATACTGATAACTGATTCTCGGAAAATCACTTAAAATCACAACAAAAACCTGTAAAATTTATACTTAAGTAAAAAATGTAATATGCACGTCTCTGGAATAATGGTATAACTAAATAAAATCTACAAAATATACTAAAACTAAAACTAAGCTCCGGCAGATTTAAAAAGTAGATGGTTACTATCAAGGGTGTTCATACCCCCAAACCGTTCAAGGGTTTTCAATTGGGTCTGATAGAACCCCTCTCTAGCTTCCATAGCCTTTTCTTTGTCTGCTTTACTAATATTAGGCTCAAATACTAAAGCGTCTACTATAATGACAGAAAGGTGCTTACTAAGTGAGGAATTATAGCATGCTATGGTACTAAAATCTAAATCATGATCAATATCTAAAAAATGGTTAACTAATTTACAACTTCTTATACCTTTCTTTATGTGACTCTTATGGTTAGAGAATCTCTTAGGGAGATTTGAGGTAGTATAACCGACATACGACTGTTTACAAGTCTTACACTCCATTAAATAAATGAGGTTATAACTCTGACAAGATATATACTTAGTTATAGGGAAAACTTGTTTAGAATGGTGACTACTAAAATTGGAACAGGGGGACAGGAAATTTTGCTTACAAACATAACATTTACCACAAGCATGGCACCCTGGGTCGACAGCCCCGGGAACCGCCCTTAGACTTTCGGAGTCTGGTTCCTGGATCTGGCTTGCAGTTGTTTCTCTCTCATTATCACAGTTTAAAGTTCCACTGGCACGGTACTTATTGTGTACAAGCATGCCACCGATAGTTTGATTCTTTCGATGACTCACGAATACACTGTCCGCACGTACCAGCTTCTTCAGGGCCGGATCAAGGTTGAGAAGGTGCTTATACTTATGGATAATGCCCCCCATGTTGGGAAGTGCTGGATTTTGATCCATCACCATGGGTATTAAACAGGCAGTCGACTCATCCTTGTCTTTAAGGGTATACAAGTTTTTCCTATTAGCTATATCACTAAATTTGTTAAAGGCATCTTCTATAATACTGGAATGATAACCTCGGGCTAGAAGGTAACGTGTATAGACCTCTCTCTGCTCCAAGAAGTTAGTGTCTTCACTGTTGTTCTGTCTCACCCGCCTCGCCACTCCAAAAGGTATGTTTTTTACAACATGGTTCCTATGGCATGACGTGGGGATAAGGTAGCAGTGGGTGTCACTAGGTTTAGAGTAGAGTTTGGTGTGGACAACATCACCAACAGCATAGACATAGGTGTCTAGAAACTCAACGCCGTCCCTAGAGTAGTCGTAAGTAAACAAAAGGTTTGGGTGGATACTATTGAGCCATTCCATGAATTGTAATAATTCCTCAACAGTACCGGGCCAAGCCATATAAATGTCATCACGTAATCTACCCCAGAATGCTGGTCTATGAGGCGGGCCATATTCTAGATCTCCTTCGTATCTCCTACATATATATATATATGTGTTTAACTTTATCCGGCATCAACTTTAACGCGACTTTCCGCAAAAACCGTAAAAGATATACAACCGTATATGAAACATTTTTGACTAGGTCAAATGCTTTTATACTTTTCAAATCAGCATGCTTTTATACTTTTCAAATCAGCATGAAAAAATAAAAAATAGGCCAAGGAATAAGAATTTTAGTGCCCAAAATTGTGACCCCCAGTGGTGTCAAAAACGCGAATTAATTAGGTAATGGTTATTTTAGTCTCTTGAGTCTTGACACCACTTTAGAGTAAGACGGTTTCCTGCTAGTTATATTAATTGGAATAACCGTCCTTAAATGCAAAATAATACAATTGTAATAGATTCAGTGAAGAAAGATTCTAATGGAAATAAATAGCTGAATAACTTATTGACATTTCTACGTCATAGTCATACTCATATTCTGAAATAATATTAATTCACTGTTCGCTAATTTTCAGATGAGCCCTATTTGATAAATTTGGTCAGTTTTATGTTCATGTTTGCTCCGATTTCGTTAAAAATCTATTTTACAGTGGATAACTATTTTACAGTTATATATTTTGTTTGAAATAAATTTCGTCGTCAAGTTTTTATTGTAAATATTGATCGTTAAAACTAAATTAATACAATTTCAGAATATGAGTATGACGTAGAAATGTCGATACGTTATTCAGCTATTTATTTCCATTAGAATATGTCTTCACTAAGTCTATTCAGAAACGATCAGAAATTTGAATGAAAGAACTATCAAATCATGAGACTCAATAACACTACACGAATCCACCTGATATAATAATGATTTACAGATTTGTACTTGTACAAAGATACATTTCTTCCGATGTAAAGTATTGACAAATTGTATAGACATTTTCTTAAAAACTACATGAAAAATGTTTGGAACAGAAAAATACAATACAAAAAATAATTATTAATCGCGGAGGGCACTTCCTGCTAGAGACCAATATTATCAAATATTAAAGAGAAAGAGCTGTCCATCTAAAAGTTCATTTCAAAAGTCAATTCCAGTTAAATGCGACCACAAAAATCCAGAACACTCATTTGATCCAGTTGCGTGATGATTTTCTAAATGTCCTATCAAATTATCGTCTAATGTGTGGCCGAAGAATTCAATGAGAAGGTCCAAACGTTGGCCCATACAAACTATAAAATCGTCATTGATTAAAGTTTCCTCGACTGTTCGACCGAAATATTCAACAATCATGTCCAGCCGGGTGATCAAACTAGCCAAAAAACTTTCCGTGATTTGTTGGCGGTAAAAGTAGCTGTCGTACAAAAAACCCCATTTATTTCCTTTTTCTGAACGAACTAATCTAGCCTGGCCTTCAATATTAGCAAATAAATCAGCGAGTTGACTATTCTCAGTAGAAGTGATAAGTATATCAGTTGTGGTTTTATCAGTAGTGGTTTTATCAGTAATATCAGTAGAAAGAACAGTAGTTACCTCCTCCAGTAGATCAGTGTACTGTTGATGATCTGTGTACTCATACTGATCAGTGTACTTTAACGGCGCTTCTTCAGGGGTACTGACCCTGATAGGCTGGACAGCCGGAGTAGAGCTCACCATAGGTTCAGAAGTAGTCGGAGGGTGGTCTTCATGACACTCCAGACTTGTCTCTGTTATTGTTCCATTTCTACCCAGCTGAACAATGTCCTTCCAGCCTATATACAGGTCAGCTCCAAACTTCTGAGAATAGTTAGAGCACAGACCTTCTGCATACATTTCACTTATCTGCCCTGAGGTCAGCTGTTTGCTGAAGACATTCAGCTCCAGAAGCTCACCTCCAAAGAAATGGTAATCCTTTATCCCCCCACCACCGTACTTCTTGTGCAGCTGACCGAGCATTACAGTTCCAGATGTTCGTAATCTCCTCCCAGGGCGTGATGTTGCTGATGCTATCTCCACCCCATCATAGTACACAGTCCCCACTAGACTAGGGAACCACCAGGTTAAACACAGGTGGTGCCACTCTCCCACACTTAGGTCCGTCTCAATGCGCGAGGTGAACCCCTTGAAGAGGAAGAAGTGGCCAGTATCACTGATAACTAGCTCGTTCTTGTTGTACTGGTCCGTGTAGCTGAGCCAGTACTGGTAGTTACCGAGGTGGTTACTGCCCCTCTTCACCCAGGCACACAGGGACAGAGCCTCACTCACAGGAGACATGTCCGGGTTAAATAATATGAAGCTGTCCTCGTCCTGACCGAACTGTAGGCCAGTCTTGGTATAGGAGGGGTGAGCTACTGACTGTTCAAATGCAAGGAATAACAGGACTGTCAATTTAATGAACGGTTTAGGGCGTGTCCAGCTAGTCGCGATCATTACAATCACTTAAATGAGAGGACTAAGACGGATCTGCAGAACGAATAACAGCACTCAGAGTAGAATCGTCCACCAAATAAGCAAGAGCAAAACTCAAGTAAAACAAAACGCCTTCTTTATCATAGTGTATCAAACTTTAAATTACGGAATTTTTGCGCTATCCAAAAATGCACCAGCAAGGCTTCAACGATCTTATTATACGACAATAGTTTTGTGACTCAAGATGTAATGATGCAGAAATATCTGTAATAATATATGTTACACAAGATACAGGGTTTGGCACCTTGATTGATTCACGTTTTAATCATATATTGTATGAGACATGTCAAGAATGCTACATTTTTGTCTCTTATTTTTGGATGCCACGTTGCCATAGACACCGATCACAATGCAGCAATCAGTTTTGTAAAGAATTAGTTTTGCAAAGAAAGCCTCAAGGATACTTTTAAGTGACTGTAATGTCTAATGTCTAGTAGTCAAGAAAATGGAGCATACTTTTCTGTTAATTCATAATTCTAAGAGAAACTACAATTTTGGCATATAATTTTACTTTTAATTGGTTATCGCGTCGACAGATATTTTATCTGGAATTTATTCCGAGTATACCGATAGTCGAACCTATATTAGCTATATTAGTAGCAGGAGATATGCAGTCTTCTACTAAAGTGGTCAGACTTATCAACAAGGCGACCAAAATATTTTAACTTTGGAGGTATAAATCAAAATGGCTTGAATTTAAAGATATGGACAATAATACCACGGACTTTCCACCCAACGGCCTTTCCTCCCAAATAAAAGAATATGCTTCCATTTGGGAAGCAGTCAATAGTGGGGGGGGGGGGGGGGGGGTGGTCAGTAGGGGGGGGGGGGGGGGGAGGTCAGTAGTGGGGGGGGGGGGGGGGGGTGGTCAGTAGTGGAGGGGGGGGGGGGGGTTCAGTAGTCAAATAATCAACCAAAATTGGATTGCACTTACTTCCGTAATGGAACTCAAAGAACATTCTCCACCTAATTCTAAACAACGAACCCACACAGTAAACTTCTATTTGAAAGACGCGAACTATATTATTTCGCAGTGCTTTAGTGGCTCTCATACTTTATCTTGGAGGACTTAATATGACAGTGCATGTTAGCCTTATCAGGACGGATAAACACTGCAGAGAATCTCATAATAATATTAATAACATGCTCTCTCTCTGTGATCACACTTAGTCTACCTACTGTACTACTAAACCTACTACATCACTACACTACTACATCACTACACTACTACATCACTACACTACTACATCACTACACTACTACAGTAGTACTATAATGCTTAGTACTACCTATTATTACACTACTAAACCTACTACATCACTCCACTACTACAGTAGTACTATAATGCTTAGCACTACCTCCAATATCTAGATACCATCAAACTATCCTGTCCAGTACATGTTAACTAATGTACCACCTTCCCATACAGAATATTTATTGGAAAGCCCAACTGCTGGGGCCACATCTTGGTGTGCTACTTGAAAACAAAGTAGGATCATTAATATTGTGCTGCTTGAACGGTGGCTATAGTGACGTCACAGGTCCACCAGGTGCCGCCTTTTGTCACAGCACTACAGGGGGAGAACTGTTCTGGGGTTTTGTGATAAGTAATTGCCCAGGTATTCTTTGGAAAACTTTGGAATACTTAGGGGCTAGCGCGGGGTAGGATAGCTGGGTGAAATCACAGCTGTTTTTATTGATAGCTTTTTATTGGAAAATAACGCTGACTTCTTTCCCATACGTCATATTCTAAACTTTTTGTGAATAAGTTTCCTCAGCGAAGGAAACTTCACGGTTACTTATAGTAATTACAGGCAGGTTAAGCTTGTATCACACCGGGTAGCTGAATGCTAATGTTGATTAATTACCTGATAGACAGTTGTATGACACAGTGACGGGTGATAACGCAGACTGGGTGACATTATAAAGGAGCAATAAAGTGGCAGGTACTCACTGGGAAGACCCATTTCAAGGTCAGCTCAGTTCTGGTGATCAGCCCACGTGCACTCTGATCAGCCCACGTGCACTCTGATCAGCCCACGTGCACTAATCACGTGACACCTCACCAGCTCTCCATTAGTCACACTGTCCAGTACGTGGCGGTATTTTCCCTTTCCAGATAGCTAGTGTGGAAGTTAGTAGTCAGCAAGGCTGAACCATGGTCCACTTGCTGTAAGCCAGTTGCAGTGCTACCTTTTTTAAAACATTGCGTACAAATTTGTAAGGCTTCCTTGACATGTGCTATCAGCTATATTGGATTAGTTGTGGAACTAATGCAGTTAACCCTGCCGATAGTCCTCATAAATAGCCCAGTTTAGCGAAGCTTGCATTTTCCCACTTTGCAGCGTGTTTTAGTATGCCTGGTCTTCGACCATTGGACATCTAGTTTGGGTAGATTCTGTGAAGGTACAAGAGTAGTTGCTATTAAAGTTACGAGTAGTTACTATTTGATAATTATCTTACAAATTTGACTATATCTATAACTTTAATCTAGAAACGTACAAAATCGTAAAGTTATACTTATATAAATATTGCCTTCATCATCTCATTCCAGATTATCAATAAAAATTAGCCGCTTAAACTAAAATTATTGTCACGAGACAAAATGAGTATTATTTAATTCACATGACGACAATCAAATTATATAAAGCAGTCACATACAATTAAAAATAAGCCGGGATCATTTTTATGGAGGGAAAACATTTCCCGACAAACAACAACGACCTGAAGTTAAACCATTTCTAACAATGACGATTATTTTTCACAATTTCTAAATCTAATTATTCCAAGCGAGCATAAGTTCACAGATTTACGGGATGATTCCAGCCGTGAAGTATTGATGATTTAAACGTTTAAGTAAGAGCAGCCGCACGTGCAAAGTGCTTATTATCAGGTGAAGATGTCCGTTTTTTGTTAATAGGTGTTAATTAGAGGCTGCGTCAACGACTTATAAGTACCTCCCAATCCCCTCATATTGTCTGCTTTATGTGGAAATGCTTTATGTTGGCCAATCACTTCAAAATCCCCATATCTCATACCTCATATCAGCTAGTGTGTAGTGGAAATGCTAACCTTATTATTACTTTCTGTAGCTGCTTTTGTAAACTTCATGTGACCCTTTCCAATTTCCATGGTAGAGTTAGGTGGTGACCACAATACGGCCAGATATAACCTCTATAATAGAGCATCTGGCAGTTTAGAAGTGTATTAAGTGCTGGAATTATAGATAAGGAGGAAACGTTAAACCAGTGAGTTTAGAAGTGTTTTAATAAGTGCTGGAATTATAGATTAGGAGGAAACGTTAAACCAGTACTTGAACCGTTAGAGTCTGGTTCATTGTAATACTAATAATTCTCCACTTTAAAAGGCACTGATGAAAATCTGCAATGCTAATGTCTGAGCTTGGCTTCCTTATCCTATGATTTAGAAATTTCTATACGGATTTATATTTCTATTCGGATTCGGATTTACTGAGTACGTACTAGTAGGAAGTTACTTTGAGGTAGGACCTAATTATTTAAAAGCCGCGCATTTTACCGTTTAATAACCACAGGTACCGTCCATTCTCTGAATGATTTTAATGCTTCGCATTTCAGACAATTCTTAGAATGTTCATCAATTCTTAGAATGTTCATCAATTCTTAGAATGTTCATCGCTTGAACAAGAAAATAATTTAATACTTTCAATTTAATAAGCAGGAAAGAGTAATCACAAATACTGCCTTTATTGGGTGTCAAACATTTGGCAATTTCCTAAATTCATTGTTACTTTATCAGTAAGCACGCTTCTATATCATCTGCAGGATTAAACTTAATTTCCGTCCCGCTACTCACTGCATCAGAAGAGTGAGGAATATTAAATAGCTCTTTTCTTTACTCCATTATTGGAACTGTAGTTGGTGACCAAAATTTATAACAGCTTTTGTTCATGCATGTGTTAGGTTGATTTATTAATATTTGTCAGGATAGTTTTATCATTTAAAAAAACTACTATTCTAGTCACTTTTTACTGACAAAAATATCTTAATAGCTAGATCTCAGCTGAAAATAACGTGAAAATGTCTGACAAAAACGCAGCAGCAGCTCTTTTCAAATTCTTCGATGAGGACTCCTCAAATGGTCTCACGTTGGCCGAACTTAAGGAAGGAATGACCAGTGTCGGTTCCAAATTCACAGAGGAGGAAGTTCAGACCTTTTTTAACAAGGTACAATTATGCATTTCGAGATAAGCGGCCCGGTTTATTTAATAAGACCATGGCAAAAGCTCAACAAACTTTCTTAAATGAGAGCGTAACATTGATTTTTCCCCCCAGATATTTGCAGTCTTTTTAACCAGGAATAATAACTGCACATATTCTCAGTACGACGCTAACGGAGACGGTATAATCGACTTTAACGAGTTCCTGGGCCTCTGTATTGATCTGAATACGAACGAGAGTGAGAAAGCAGTAGCTAAACTCTTCCAGGCAGTCGACGAGGACGGCAACAAGTAAGCCTTTAAGTACCTTTAAATAACATTATTAACCGTTTTCCATGAAACTATCTGTCATACTCGTTTTTTCTGACCGAAACAGATATATTGATTAAGATACCGCATCAATTAAAGTTAAGAAGGCAAAAATTTGTTTATAGACGGCATTGCAATTTAATCTTTCAGTCTTTAAAAAAGGGTTCTTTCGCCTTTTTTTGACTTGATACACTTTTCCGAGGAAGAAATTCATTATTTTTATTGAAACTCTATTATAACATTAACAGACGTGTAAAAGAAGTGTGACTGTACCGCATTATTTAAGGCACGCTAAGTTAAAGGAAGTTGTCTTTGATAAGTATCTGCTTGGTTGTGAGAAGGCTTTCTTGGCGATTTAGTTCTTATAACGGCTGACAAGATAGCCAATAGCCAGTAGTCATGTGCTTATTTTGAACTATGTCCTGTTACGACATCAGCTACGGCGAAGTTTGATAATATGCATAACCTTTCGATAATTCATAGGGATTATACCCATTATATACCTTTTATCTCAAACTGCATCGCAAGATTCCTCTTAGTAAGAGTCAAGGCTATCGTTATTGGCCTGTGTCAGCATGGCTGTATTCAATGACATTTTCTTAAAACCTCATTCCACAGGTCTCTCAGCCACGCAGAACTGAGGGAAGGAATCGCCAACTTCACAGGGAAACCAGTGGGAGACAAGGAAGTGGAAGACCTTATCAAACAAGTACGGAGTGATATCACACAGTCACACATATTCACACGGCGCCTCCTTGAGGAGTTATACGCCCCTTCAATCGGGGCTTGTCCAAGGAGGACACCCAAACCAGTCCGCAGAGTGATGTCAAACAGCTGAGTAAGGAGGGTAGCGAGGCAGTGCGCGGCTGGCATGTTGCACGTGCGTAATGAGTCGAGTATGAGTTGAAGATTCAGTGAGAATCTGAATAAGCGAATATTGTTTCGTGTGTGGCGTGAGATTGTAGCAATATTGCAGCAATTTTGTAGCATTTCCAGGAGACAATGTGGCGCGGTGAAGCATCTTAAAAAGTGTGAATTGTGCGGCAAGTATCGTTTCAACAGCTCATAAAAAGTGTGAAGGACGAAGGTAGCAATACTCCTGAAAATCATCACATTCAAGCAAAAACCAATTCCGTCTAAGTAACTGAACATCACCACTTACTTAATACTTTAAATACTTCACACTTTCCCGACATTATCATGGAACGATTTTTCCATTGGTTAACTGTTCATCAAGAGTTTTCACATATACTGTAGTTTTCATCTTTATTTTATTCAGCAATTTAGAGGTCTTCACAAAACTAGGCTACAAATTTTGTAAACAATTTAAATGGAGCAGATTTTACTAATAAACAAAGCAAACAAGTGATTGAATATCTAATACTAGTATACCTCTTAGTTGCATTACTAATAATTGCACTTTCTTTGATAATATCTATGTTTTATTTACCCTAACAATTTCAGCTCGATATTGACGGTGACGGCGAGATCAGTTACTCAGAGTTCACCAGCAATCTGTTAGTGAAAATCACAGTAGCCGTGAAAAAGGGAGCCAAGTAAATGTGACAACTGCTGAATGAACACTCTGCAAAGTTATCTTGCTAAGAGCTCTGCAACTGAGTCGGGTTGAGTTGAGTTTCATTCCCGGAGAGTTAGAAAGTTGCATTTCAAGTACTTTAAGTACTTCGTCGTACTTTAAGTACTTCGTCGCTTAAGTAAGAACTTTCATATTCAATTAAGCATTAAGCGATCAATAGCAAGAGATTTAAAGTTTCAACCAGCCCCTTTATCATTAGCAAGAGGTCCTGATAAGAGATTTAAAGCTTCAACCGGCCCCTTTATCGCCCTATTTTCTTGATTGGTTTCATTGTATATATTAGGCTATAATCAACAATATCGAATACTTTATGACGTGTAATATTATCATTATCTTTAAAAAATGTTAATTTTTATCTTTACCCTTCAATAAATTAATTAAATATATAAGAAGTAAAAATTCACGACAAGGTCACGATATATTATAAATAAAATCGTAAAACATGTATAATGATAATGACGGTAACATGCAAGAATAAGTACAAGACCTGTACCTGATCAGTAATAATAATCTTAAGAAAACAAATCGAGACCAAAAGTCACGTGACCATAAGTCACGTGACCATAAGTCACGTGGGGAAGTCAGGTGACCTGCAATTTAGTCCTGGTGTGGGGCTCCTGATAGGGCAGCTCTAAATAGTCGAACACGTCTTCTTCGCACGACACTTCTAGCGGTTCACCTTGGGAATAGAAAACAGTTTAATGAGCTAGTGGGTCATGCTAGTTGATACACGTGGTTAACATGTGGTTAACACGTGGTTAACACGTGGTTAACACGTGGTTAACACGTGGTTAACAAGTGGTTAACACGTGGTTAACACGTGGTTAACACGTGGTTAACATGTCAGTACTAATTACTACTAACTAATACTAATTAGATGCACAGGATTTAAAGCAAACCTGGATTTAATTGACGCGGCTATTTTCATTTCCGGTTTAAATCAAGACAATTGGGATTATTTCAGATCTGATTTATCAGATAATTTCATATAGATCTCGCAAGGCATAGATCTTTAGTGGTCGAGCACCACGGCTCTGAGCTCTCGACAGGCAAAGTAAAACAAGGTAAATAGCTGGTAAAACTATGTGAAAATTATCGACGTTTGGGCACTCAATGGCCTTTTACTAAGATTAGCAAAAGTCGACTGTTTTCACATAGTTTTACCAGTTATTTGCCTTGTTTAACTTTCGAGAGCTGCTGAACACGTACTATATAAGTATATACAGATAACAGTCGTTTAAAAAGGTTCATCAATCTGCATATTTCATGAGCGAGAGAGAGAGAGAGAGAGAGAGAGAGAGAGAGAGAGAGAGAGAGAGAGAGAGAGAGAGAGAAAGAGAAAGAGAAAGAGAGAGAGTGAGAGAGAGAGAGAGAGAGAGAGAGGGGATATTGTGCTCGTTTCTTTCTATCTAACCAACTTATACTTTTAAAACAAATTATGACTGGTGCTATGGTTCCAAATTACCGCAGATTTTTCTTTTCTCCGAAATGTGCTGGTTAATTAATGTAATTTTACTTAAAATTAACCATTATATGTCAGACCTGGAGATCCCAGAGCACCAACAGGTCTTAGAGAGTATTCGTTAAGAGTGAAGCCTTTAGTTAGAGCGTGCGCTCTCATCTCCTGGTTGAAGACATCTGATCCTGTGAAGTAGAGGACTCCGCACCAGTATCGGTCTTCAGGGATAATCCTGATATCCACTCTGCGAGACATGCCACCAGGAACCAGGCCCACACCTGCATTTATTAAATACTTTTACAATTTTACAGAGTACAGCAATAAATGAATAGAAAATAGAATCGTTCAAAATATTGCCCCCATCTTTAAAATAAGATGGGCACCCAAACATGGTAATGTCCGCAATTACTTGGACCCAATACATAAAATTAATCTAAATCCAAAAGTTTATGAAAAACTATTTAAGAACAAACAAATCAATGGTGAATAACTGTGGATATATAGATAAAATTGGTATTTCAATACGTCAAATTTCAGATACATTAGATACAAGTCTGATATAGTTAGTAAAAAAACCAAACCGGTCCTATCTTTAACACTCTTATTAACAACTTTCAAATAAGGGATCGTTCACCCATAACGTTTGGAAATACTTACGCAGCTGTAAGTTTTACACAATAGCAGTATTATGTTAAAAGGGAAGGGGGATATTGTTTACATGAACTGAACTATCTCTTTAAAAGGACACTATTAACACTACAACTTTATTACTAACCCATAAATTTTACTTTTCCTAATGAGAGTGTGTCGGTTAGCAATCCTTCAGATAGGAAATAGTCCACAAAAGCAGATAACATATTGTTCGGAGGAGTCTTCATTAAAGAGATGAAATCTGAGAGGCAGTAATTATTGTAACTATTACACATAATTTTAATAATTAGAGCAATGGTGTTGGACAGACTTAAGTTAATGAGGTCAAGGGAATATTGATAGGATTACCAATGGCACAGCTAAAAACGAGAAGCTCTCAACTTCAATTGAAACCTGGGTGGGATATTAAGAGATCCATATCAAAGCTAGACTCCTTGCCTCTCCGGTAACTGCCACATATCTTGAACCGTATTTTACTATCGTACTTTGTCAATGCCTTCTGACAGAGTACTTTATACTGGTCTATCTCAGAACGAGGTATCCTCTCTTCGAACTCACTGAGAATAGGGGTGGTCACTGAGAAGAAATTTAATCTACATCGCTTTTAAGAAGTCATATGCTATCTTTAGTTAACTGACTAATTGGTTTGTAGGAGAAAAGTCTATCCAATCTCAAATCTATCAAATTTCGGATATTTGAAAAAGGGACAGATTTTGGAAAATATGAATTTTTGTTTTGTAAAGCTTGCTGCTGTGGGCTTCCTCCTACTAAAATCAAACTTCCAGCACCTCAATCGTGACATATGTCATTTATAGTTGACTTACTAATTGGTTGCGGGTGAAAAAATCAGTCAAAACTGTAAAATTTCGGTCCTGCAAATTTTATCTTAAAAACTGAAAATGGGACAGAGATTGGGACAATATGATTTTGCACTTTTGTTCGGGATTTTCACTCCCAGTATCTCAATTTGGTTTTATACCATAATTTATTAACTGACTAATTGGTTTCTGGGCAAAAAGTTCATACAATCTGTCAAATTTGTGTTCAGAAAATTTCATATTTGACTTTTGAAAATACAACTTTTCGTTTTGTTAAGCTTTTTGCTGTGGGCTACCTCCGACCGAAATCAAACTTCCAGCACCTCAATCTTGTTGTAATTATTTAAACTAATTACAACACTACAAATCTATTACATTTATTGAGAATTATGTAATAATTATGACCTAATTCCTGCGTGAGACCTAATTTCTCCGTTCGACCTAGTTACATCTTGGTGACAGTAATAATAGTATAAATAGGTAGCACTGTTTTTAATATTACAAAATACACATGTCCATTGTCCATGTGAAGAAAGTTAAGTAATCTATTCTGATTTATCATGAATTTAATAAAAGTTGTAGCTTATAATGCAGAATGGTGTCCAGTTTGCAATATTTGCAGTGTAAGCAAGCACTATGTGGAGTTAAACTTGGACATGTGCATGAAAAATATTTAAACTACTTAGTACCTAATACCTATGCTATATAATATCCTATAAGCACAGAGAAAGACTAACATTCTCTTTCGCCATAATAATATGTAGTATTAAAATAGGCAGCACTGTTTTCAATATTACACAATAAACATGTCCATTTTCCATGTGAAGAAAGTTAAGTAATCTATTCTGATTTACCATGAATTTAATAAAAGTTGTAGCTTATAATGCAGAATGGTGTCCAGTTTACAAGATTTGCAGTGTAAGCAAGCACTATGTGGAGTTAAACTTAGACATGTGCATGAAAAATATTTAAACTGCTTAGTACCTAATACCTATGCTATAGCCTATAAGTAAAGAGAAAGACTAACATTCTCTTTCGCCATAATAATATGTAGTATTTAAATAGGCAGCACTGTTTTCAATATTACTTACTTAATTGTGTCTAGGAGAAAAGGTTATCTTTATTTATTTAGTTAATCTGTGAAATAAATTCGTCGCTCTTTCGTATTCAGATTTTTGATACCAGTTAAAGTAATGCTCACAATTTATAAGTCCCGAGTTATCTAGCTATAATAGTGATTGTCATTTACTCATATTATCTCATTATCAACTAATGTCAATGTGTCCTATATCAAAGTGAAAGAAACACTTGAAACAAAACTGACTGATGGTCCCATAATTTGCAAAGCTCTTGTAACGTAATTGCTAATTGGTCTGTTTCGACCTTTAACACCTACACAGTTATTGGTCACTTGGTGGTGGAACACAAATCAGTCTGTTCTAAGAATACAATTCAATCTTGATAGTAGTTTCGGCTTATTGGTTACTTGTTTAACCCCAAATGTTAATGTTCCTTAACCGATCATACTCTACCTAACCGATCAGTTTTGTCGACGATTGTTTTGATCTTTATAATTGGGTTCTGAAACCAAGTTTAATCGATTTCTCGTGCAATTTTAGGTCAAGAACGGTCATCAAAATGAGTTTATAGCAAGGTCGATATTTTGACAAATTTCTAGCTTTCTGACAGAAAATAAATTTGGGTTTGTATAGGGGTAATTAGAGATACACTACAGTACAGTACTTACACTCACATTAACAAGCATGCAAGCGCTCACTTGGTCCGAATGAGCGGGAAACCGGGAAACGTCGAACAAGCTCTGGTGACATTATAGTCACATGACCTCAGGCTCATAATCACGTGACCTCAGAACCAATCAACAAGGTTCAGGTCTGGCCAGCTCTCTGTTATCTGATTTTGAGGTGACGTACGACACCTCGTTAAACCAATCATTGTGTAGAATGCTGCAAATTTTCGGTGACCGACCACTAAGAACCTCTCATTCCGGGCTCACACAGGTATCACATCACATGGCCCAATCAGCGACGTATCATTTGTGATTTGTGATGTGATCCATATTCTAACAATCCTAACAGCCGGACAACCATGAACCTGGGTAGGGTTCACATGACAGTTTAGTAAGTAGCTGTGTATTAAGATTATATTACAGGCATTTGAGCTTTCCAGATTTTAATGTTGTAGCTATCCTTCTCAAATGTTAGACAAAAATTCATAACAATCAAAATCCCAAAGAAATCATGGCCGAAGATAGCCGATACGTACCCCCAGTTAGCGTCGAAAACCAGTACAATCTTCCAGTTCCAGTCGGAAACCAGTAAATTCTTCAAGTTCCAGTACCGACCCTGTTACGAGACGGCGGGTCTACCAAAATACTGAAGGAGCCCTCACCACGAGGGACCCCCCCCCCCAGAGCGAGCACCCGACCAATTTACCTAGACCCTAGAGCCGTTCCGGTAATCAAGGATTCCTAACGACATTCATAAGAGGTGGCACCTCGCGGAGAACGACAATTATTGCTTAGTTCTCATTGCTGCAACTTTGGGTACGGAGTAGCTCCTAATCTTTGGCTTCCCAGCTCCATCTTTAAGTTAATGCCTAATATAGATATTTTCACATTTGTTTTGTAGTAACCATTTCTTAGTATATTTATTATTATGTTGGTAGGTTTATCCCAACATCCCTCAAATTAACGTCTCTCAATCGTCCAATTAACTGGAACTGTAACAATCAGTCGAGCCTGTGATCTAAAGTAACTCAAGTTAATCCGTGCTTGACACGATGACTCAAAAGTACAAAGTATCCTAAATGAGACCGAATTCGGTCGTTATAACTAAACTGTGAATGAAATTAAAGGCCATTAATCAAAGCTTCTACATAAATTGCCTCTTCCTAAAACCCATCGGTCTGGTGTCCTTAGCCCAGAACACAATGCCTAACACTTTTGCACGATAATTTGATTAAGGACCATTGCTCAAATTTCGGTAAAATTTGCATAACAGTTTGCACGTCAACCCACCAATATTTTGTACGAAATTAAGTACACCTGCACAAATTGTATACTTTTACACGATGATTTAATCAAAGATCTCTGCACGATTTTCGGTACTATTTGCATAATTATTATGTTATGTACAGAAATTTGGTACCCCTGAACAAATTATATATTACTAGTGTAACTCACTAGTAATATATAATTCAAATGTTCAGTTTCATTTTGAACTGATCCGTTTCAAGGTCCTGTAATATGGGCCAGGGCTTGGTCTAGACTCTAGATCGAGCTTAGACCGTCCGTGCGTGGTGAAGAGCCACATCCTGCACGAGGTGACCCTGCTAGACCGGCATGTCATTGAAGAATCCGACTGTCTGGGTCAACTAAACACGGCGGATCTAGAGGAGCACATACCTCGAAAAACAAGCCGGGTTTATGAAGACCTGCACCCGTGATTGTATCTACAGATGAGGGTATTGGATTATAGTGTCACATCCAGGTTGCAGTGGCGCCGTGCCTAGAACAATGTCTAACCATTAGACAAAATCCCCCCTCACTTTTATGATGACACACGATAACAGCACTAGGGTTCAAGCCCCTAACTACTCAGTGGCAGCTAGATCCCTGTATGACGGGCCCTCCCTAAAACCCCCGGGAGGGGTGGGTCCTGATAGTCGCAGCAACCCTGTTACTACCCTTTTAGTTCGTAGGAAAACCCCTTTTCAGGTTAGCACCTTCAACTGTAGGACTCTCAACCCTGTATCACGTAAACAGGAGTTAGCTCACTCAGCCAGCAGCCTTCCTGCATCATAATGATGTTATCTCCCTGCAAGAACATCGCCAACACCACAAAGAATCCCTAAGAATTGAAAACATCTTATCATATCAGCTCATCACTGCTTCTGCTACAAAGAATTTAGTTAATGCGTCGGTTGGTGGTGTTGGGTTTCTTTTATCTCCTAGAATTCAGAAATCTCTCCTATCTGTAGAGAAAGTTAATAGCAGAATCATCTTGCTCCATGTAAACGGAAATCCTCGCCTCACAGTCCTCTCATGTTATGCTCCTACTAACTGCAGTGATATTGAAGAAAAAACTGCATTCTACAACGCTCTTACCAGGATCATCTCTAAGGTACCTCCTCACAACATGCTAGCAGTGTGAGGTGATTTCAACGCGAAGCTCAGTAATAGCTACGGTTTCACATACCATCAGTCAACCAACGACAACGGTGAACGACTACTGGATCTGGTAGACCAACACCAGCTGATAGTTGCTAACCGCTGTTTCCAGAAACCGGCTAATAAAATTTGGACCTATGAAGACCCCAAAAGAACAAAGCATCAAATTGACTTTGTACTCTGGCGTAAGAAGTGGGCAAATAGTGTGAAGAACTGTCAAGCGTACAACATCATGCAAACTGTCGGTTCAGATCACCGGATTGTAGCATGTTTTGTTCAAGTCAGCTACAGAGTCAACAAAACTCCAGCACGGGACCCTCTTAGGAGCATTGACTGGACTCCACTGACCCACGATTCCATCATGAAACACCAGTATGCAGTGGAAGTGAAAAACAGGTACAGTGCACTCCTAGAGGAAGCAGAACTCGAGTCCGACGACGACCTGCTCGTTAAAAGCGTTACAAGCACAGCACTTAAGGTGTTGCCAAAAAAGAGGAAGAGGAAACGGGAAAATCCTTACAACGATCCTAATATTGCACACCATCGCAATATCCTAAAGGATGCGTCCCTGAGTCACAGGCTTTCCCCCTCTTTTTCGTCCAAGGAAAAGCTTGAAGACGCAAAGAAGCAACTGGGCGAAGCCTATAATGCTGCTACTCGACAACAGACTGACCGGCTGGAGAAAACTAACCCTGAGCACAGGCATCGCAGTTCCTGGCACATCATCAGGCAACTAACATCTTCCGACACTGTGCCATACTGCAAAGTGCCAGGAGGCACTACCGAAGAACGGCTCAACATCTGGTTCGAGCACTTCAAGTCCCTTCTAGGCACAGAACAGCCTCCGGCGGACCTCACCCTCCCCTTCTTCAACCAGCGAGTCTCTGACACCCTGCCCATCAGCTGCTCATCCTTCAGCATGTCAGAACTCGACTGCTCGACACGGTTCTGAAGTCCGCCAAGTCCGCCAAGTCACCCGGTCTAGATAGCATCCCTCCCTCAGTCTGGAAGCTTCCCCAGCTACGTGAAAACCTCCTCGGATTCTGTAACAAAGCACTTATGGATGGTGTGATCCCTCAAGCCTGGAAAACGGCCTCTATCATTCCTATCCCCAAAAAGGGTGATCTTACTAATCCAGGAAACTACCGTGGCATTTCACTGGCACCGGTTGCAGCGAAAGTTTTTAACAAGCTC